GTTTTTAAACATACAGAAAAGCTCATTAAGCAAAAGCTAAATATGTGCATATGCAATAAAAATACGAGGTAAAAATCAAAATTGTATTTTTCAATATTTTTACAAAGTTTCTATGTTGAAATTGTAAACAAAACCATCAAATCTGTCAAAGCTCGGTACATATCCTCATTTTCGTTTTTTTTAAATTCGAAATTCGTCTTAAATTTTCTTAATTATAACACGTTATAAATGGTGGAAACTTTATTCAATCTCCATCTCTGTTTTTTTAGACATTTAACACCATCCTATAAAAGGTGATTTGTCTGCACCTTAACCTTCTGGATTAAATCAATAATCTGCCTTCAGTCCGTCTGTGCCACTCCTCTCAATCGCCTTTAGAAGTCTAATATTGCACTTTTTTGAGTGATTTATCTGATGCTTTCATGCTTTCATGTTCCCTTTCTCCTGAGCAGTGGCTGAGCTGTCTCTTAAATGTTCAAAGATAGCAGGTTAACTGAGTGGAAAGGTCGTGGTTTTGCTGCTGCAGAAGAGAAACGAAGCGGCCACAGGAGACACGGCAGAGTTCAGATCCACAGCTACAGCTGCCACGCATGAATGTTTGATAAGCGGGCGGGATAATGGCTCCTCAAATCAGCCAAACATAAACAGCTCTATCGCGCTCTGACATCTGCCGTCCACGGCTAATAAACAGCCTCTGAATAATGAATGAATGAACTTTTATTAGGATCTGAAACTGAAATAAAGTGTCAAATCCACAGTGAGCGCACTGGGATGTATGGTTCAGTGTGTGCTGAAGTTTCATGGATACATCACTTTCTGTGTGTGTGTGTGTGTGTGTGTGTGTGTGTGTGTGTGTGTGTGTGTGTGTGTGTGTGTGTGTGTGTGTGTGTGTGTGTTGTAAGCAGGTTACTCTCAGTGCTGTCAGTGTGTAGGAGCATTATGACCCCTATGCGTATGAAAACATGGTTTCAATAGCAGGCGGTGGGTGTGCGCAGTAAAGGATCTAACCTGATACAAACTGCTGAGAGTCCTCAGTGAAGAAAAAATGATCATATCGACGGTCATATTTTCCACTTTTCGGGCCATGATGTAGACCTGATCGATTAGTGAGGAAGACTTTTTTTCCCCTAAAATGAGCCAGAGCGCCTAAAGTCCCCCAGGGTTTTAAGACTCAAAACTATAGGTTATTTTATTTTACTGCTGGATTCAACAAGTATGGCCTGCAAAATAAGTATGCCGTCAATATCTTGCAGTTAAAGGGCTCATACACTGTTTTTTCAAGACAACACAGTCGAATGTAATTTAATAAGCTGTATGTTATTATTGCACTACAATGTCCTCATACCCACAAAAGGGCGTAAAACAACAAATGGCCTGTATCCTTGTTGCTGATAGGCTGTTTTTATTTGATCAAATCACAGAGGTGATCAGTTGTAAAAACCACCGTGACAAGGCCTTTTTTATGAACTACATTTTATGCAAACCTGCTGCTGGACCTTAACTTCTCTAACCTGTTGCTCTTTCCCTTTCCTCTCCTCCTCTACAGCTCAGCTCCACATCAGCCCATCTTCCTCTTCTCCTCCAAATATCAGATATTAATAGAGTAAGCTAAATGATATTAGTTGAGCTAAAAGTCTTCTCATGGTTCTCATAATGCTCTCTCTAGTCCACAGGGCCATCAAGTGATGATGTCTTCACCTAAAACACACCTGGTGTTGCGTGAATCAAACGCGTCACAGAAAATCGCAGCAGCGGCATAAATCTGTTGCCTAGCAACTTTATTTTGGTTCCTGGTCCAAATAGCCTACTTAGCATATTTATCAATACAGAGGTCTTTGTGTGTTCTTATTTTCACATTTCACATGTTTAGCTTTTATTATATAAGAAAAATAGCTAATGCACCTCAGCACGTATCAGGTAGTTAGTCTAATTACTGATGTTCATTTCTGCCGTGAGGCCTTTTGCACTGTCTCCACTAACTAGGCCTACCTGCAACCAACTTCACAGAAAACTAAATAGACAAAAAGTCCACGGGGTGCATGCAAAAATAAATATTACTTTTAGGTTTAATATTTCATTTGTGATAAGTTTAATAAGAGAGAAGCTGTGATTTCAGAGAAATGTATGTAAACTAACCCAGAGAAACAAATCAAGGCCTACTTATCTTGATGCTTTTGACAGTAAGGCTAGAATATAAATGTTATTATAGTAGACTTTAAACCTACAGCCCATAAACTTTGGCTACACTTAAATATACAAGATATAGCTTAGTTTAAAGCATTTCTAGAAAGGTGCCATAACCAGATAATTTTGCAAAAGTATTTCTCAAAGAAATGTTTGAATGTAATTTCTGTACTTGTCCCAATTTCCAGCTTTTTGTGGTCGTTTGATTTTCATTTTCTAGACAGGAAGTGTGTAAAGTGATTATTTTTTTCTCTTTCTAAAGTGGAGGTGATTTTCAGGGTCAGGGTCCAATTGTATTTGATTTAGAAAAAAAAAAACGTTTGTAAAAGAAAATAATCAAATAGATGATCTCAACTGCCAATTAGCCTGCAGAGAATGAGTGAAGTAACAGACACATCAAATCTGCAATAACTAAAACATAAAAGCAAACTGGAACATCTATGTGCAAACCGTCCTACCAGCTCCTGTTTGCATCTGCTCTACTTTTTGTCTGATCTGCTCCCTTCCTGCCTCCTCGCTCTCCCTGTGCAGGAATTGTTCTGGTTAACAATGATCGCAGCCGTGCAGGCCAACAATCTGCTGCACACTGAGCGGATATGACATGGCCCACCTCTTTTACACTTATTGCCTGTCTCTAGCTTGACTTGGGGGTAAACGGGCAATCGAGTGGAGTAATGTCAAAAGCTGAAGTCAAGGAGGGGAGAGAGAAAAGAGAAATGGAAGAGGGGAGAGGAAGAGAGACTATGACGTTGGTGTTGTTCATTACGAGCCGTGTAAACACTGCAAACAACACACATGAAAATGTGAGACAATGACAGGATCATGGCTGACACCATGGTACCCTTCACACAAGCACCCAGAAAGAGAGAGAGAGGGAAGAGAGACCATAAAAGAGAGATGATAAAATAAAGCTTCAATTAAAGCGTTACTGATGAGACAGATACAAGTCTTCTATGCAGTGAAATACACATCAGCCACTGCAGGTGGGTTTAATTTAGGCCTTTTTATATTTCACTAAAGCAGAAGTTCAAGTGCCAACACATAAAATGGACTAGTCAGGCTAAATTGTAATAAATAGCTAAATGAAAAAACTTTTTTCCCTTAAACTGTTTTATTTTTAACCTAAAAACTCTTTTTGCAAAGTTGCTTACACTAGCTTTAGCAGTGGCCTAGTTCGAGCAATTTAAAATACAGTAAGAAAAAAAGTGTAAGGTGTAAAACTCTTAACTACACATTGAACTTCATCAGTCAACTCTTCAGATTTCTACCATGTTTAAAGTTGTACTGTTACAGCATGTTTTGAAGAAAAGTTGGTTGTGTACAGATAATTAGTGGAGTTTCAGTTCACAGCAGATGTGGGCTCAATGCAGACGTCGCAATAGGAATAAACTTCAAAGTGGACTGAAATGAAAAAGCTGCTGCGAGGGGGTTTACGTTACATGCTAGAGTAGAATTTCAGGTTAAAAATGTCATAGTGACAGTGAAATGCGTCACTCACTGTGGATATTTAGGTTGAATTTGGTTGTTTCCTCAGCACGCTGTCAGTCATCTGGTCAGAATCTACTACTTCTCAAATTTCAGATACTAAAAATGAAAGCAGTCCTTTCGAGTTTCACAGTGAGTATTAACTTGAGCTTGTTTGACCACTTTAAGAATTCACACTAAGTTTATCTGACTTGCAGTGGATCACTTTTGAAGATAAAAACATACTTCATTCTCAGTAAGAGGCTTGACTTTATATAAATAATAGCTACCCAGATAAAATGGGCTCTTTAATATTACAAGAATAAGAGTTACTACAGGTATGAAAGTTAAAAGTTACGTAAATGACAATTTAAGTGTGCTTTCTTTATGGAGTTTAAAACTAAAGCATAAACTGTGATGCTTTCAAGTGTCTGAGTCATTTTGAAGCACCTGTTACAGCATTATATGGGCCCATAACTTTTAAGGGATCTTGTTATCTATGTTGCATTGTTGTTCTAAAATATTTATAATAATATATATAAAATATTTATTTCTATATATATTCTATGCACACCTATACTCCAGATAATAACAATATCCTCTTGTTTTTAATTAGTGTTGCCTATAATGAAATAACTGAGCTTTGTTTCTCCCACATGCTTTAGCCTACTCTAATTTCTGTATTATAGGTGTGTGGCAGCTTGCTGTTTTCATTCACCCACAGCCATATGATCTCTCCCTCCATATCACTAGCTCATAAATAAGAGGCTGTTATTCTACTAAAATGTTAAAATGGAAAGGGTCAGCTGTGGAGCATGTGACCGGCCCAGCTGCATCTGAACCCAGGTTAAGAGGGGCTGTGTGGCCAAAGAGTTGAGCGGCCTCACCTCTTTGCATGCTGACTGTTACATCCACAGCTCCCACATTAGTAAGCTCTCAGAGTTATATGTCAGCCGCAGTAATTACGGCTTGTCAGCTGCTGTGACACCGAACTGAAGGGCCACAGCTCCATCGACATTCAAGAGCCGGGCCGCTTAATCAGCCCTGACAGCCAGCTCCAAAACAGTCATATTTACCTACAGGAGCTCTGTCATCATTTGTGCTGATGTAACTCTGACCACAGCCTCTCCAGAGACCCGAGAGCACTTTAAGGCCCACACATGCAGATGAATGAGTGCTACACAGCCATTCCTCAGGAGGTGGATGTTAAAATAAACTGGAGCTGAGCTGAGCTGAGGAGGTGGAGGGGAAGGTCTTGTTTTGCTCTTCAAAATATAAAACTCTTTGGGGACTTAAAGGTGAGCATCATATGTAAAGCTCGGGGCAACACATCTGATATGCACCCATTATACTTATTTCTCCCTCCCTGCTTCCGTCTCTAGATCAAGCCAGCTACCTGGAAGAGTGAGCACACGTTCTCCTCCAGCAATACTGCTGCTCCGTGTCACCCTGCTGCAGCTCCTTAACATGGGGACCAGGCCACTGCCCATCAGCTGAGGGAGACTACTTGAGGAAATGCCCAATGCCTTTGGAGTCACTATGAAGAGAGACATTGTAGGAGTGAAGTGATAACTTTAAAAAGGTAGATTTCACACAATTGGTTACAGCTGGATGTGGGTTTTCACAAATCATTCTGTGCAAACATTGTGCAAGATGAACATTCATCATGATAGAGCATTACATAGGTTAAAATTAAGCTTTTATGTGATTTTTAATTTGCAAAACCAAATCTTTAGAGAGGGCCAAAAGGGAGGTCATGAGCAGGTGCATTTAAATTTACAATCTGTGAGTTGGATTATATTTTACAAACCCACCCAAATTATGATGAGACACCTGTTTTGAAAATGCTGACTAGCTAGCAGGGAGCGAGAAAAGAGAGCAGACGAGCCTAATTGATTTTTAAGTGGTGTCTCTGTGGGTTAGAGGAGTAAGAGGGGAGTCCACTTCAGGGATCCGCCAAACTCCTCTAGTTTGTACCTGAATTGAAGGGAAGCGATGTGTTGCTGATGCGGCTCAACAAGCCACACTGGGGGCCAGATGAGGGATGAACGAAGGGGGCTCGAGCCTGAGCCCGGTCTGAGCTATATAGCTGCAGTGGGGAGTGGACGAGTGGGTGATTATAAATGAACTTACTTCTGCAGAGGCAATAAGCTGACATGTCAAGCCTCATTCAGCAAACAAAGGAAGACGCAGAAGGTTTGTGATGCACACTCTTCTTATCTGTCTGGTCTCTAACTAGGACTTGCATGTTGATAAATTTGGTTTTGGGAGTTGCATGCTGGAGTTAGTTCATTCACAGCATATTGTAACCCATTTGTTATTCAGAAAACCGGGGGTTTAGTTGCCCGTGTCACGTTCTTACAAAAAATGCATGGACTAAATGCACCACCCACCGTCATAACTCACCCACACACACACACACATACACACGCATGCATGCATCATGGAGCCCCGGACCTGCTGAGAAAAAAGCAACTCTTCCTGAGTGAGTTGAAGAAAAAAAAAAGGGGGGAGAGGGAGGCCGGCCTGCAGCTCCACTCTTCCAGGGTCTCACACACAAGATCCGGGCGCGCGGCTCCATTGAGTCCGAGGAGGCTTTTGCATGGAGGTTCATTAGAAGTAACGAGTTGACACAAGGTAAATCTTAATGTTGAGGCGCCTTTCTCTACCGGCCCGGGGAGGAGCCCTCATTAACTGTCGCTAACAACCCGTGTAAATACACTGATTGGACAGCTCCGATACAAGCTCCCAGCCCTGCCAGGAAGTCCCCCTAATGAGACCACACAATAAAAACAATAAGGGAAAGGAGAGAAAGAGAGAGAAAGGGGGACAGAGAAGGGGACAGAGAGGGAGGGAAAAGAGAGAGAGAGAGATGTGTTAAAAACTTTTTACACAAGTTTTGCTATTAATAAAGATGGCGCCATATTTACAGAGCAGTGCAACACTAAAAAATTAACGCTTCTTTGCGCGACATGGCTCTTGGACAGGGAAGTTTACTTTTTGCATCAGCAGACCTACACGGGTGTGACCTTTTGAACCTGTAATTTCAAGTACCAAAGTGGGCTCAGGGACATTTTCAAGGTATAGACACTGGGTCACATTATCAAGTAAATTCTGCCTGAAATGCAGTGCCAAAGTTTAACCTTTAGCTATTTGGAAAGATTAAATAAAAACATTAAAAAGCTGCAGGTTAACAATTTTATCTGAAAATGCAGAATTAAGTACTGGGAAAGATACATAAATAATACAAACTTAAATGTGTTATTAATTGTCCCCAAACATAGAAGAGTTCTGCTAATCTCTCAAAGTGTTACCAACATCTTACGCACGCAAATAATTTGTAGAATTGGGTGTTTGGATCCTTGGGTTAAACAGAATATGTCCCATCTGCCCCAAATATGATCATGTAAAAAGCATTTTTAAATGTTGTAAATAAACAAAAATAATTCAATCCACGAGGTTTCACACTATTTTACACCAAAACATAAATTCTGAAATCATTTAACCACTATAAAAAATATGACACTTTTTACAGTGTGGTCATGGTTCAGACTTTCCGCACTCTGCCAAGTCAGCATAGGACGAAGGGGATCTTGCGCCCCGTCCCGACAGCATCCAACATCTGCTGTGGTGTTGTGGAAAGGCACAGCTCTCCGCGGTACTCGGTGGATAAAAATGGAAAATGCACCAAACTAAAAACGGACTTTCGAGATTAAAGCCGGCGTTAGGGGAGCTAATTTGACAACAAGAATGTATAATTTCGTCCATGCTTTTTTCAATGCCCAGAAAAAAATTGATGAGTGAAATTAGTTCTCGAGTTTTCGGAACGTTATTGATCAGAAAGTAAACGGGACAAAGAGAACTTACAAGAGCAGAGGTCGGATTTCCATCCTGGTTTGGGACGATCGGACCAGTAAAATAACAGCGAACCAGTGTCCCGTCCAGCTCCGAGCTCGAGTGCTGACAGTCTGTGTACCCTGCTCACAACTCTGCAGGGGGACGGAGGAGAAGGAGAGCAAAGGGGGGAAAGTGCGAGAAGAAAAAAAGGCATTTCTGTTAAATCAAGTCACCAGCCTTAAAATAAAAAAATTCTAACATTTCAATGAATAAAAATGAACTTTTACGCATGAAAACTATGACAATTGTCTGCAAATAGAAGAGTCAAATATGCATGTTAGTTTCGAGGAATTATACAATAAAAAATCGGGATTGTTTTTTAGTACATACCCGTCATCATCCAAGCGTATCGTCCTGCGTTTTGCTGAGATGAATCCAGGATGGAGCAGCAGGCACATGAGGCTCTCCTGTGCTTGCCAGGGAGGGGTGTGCAGCCTTTTCTGGCCAGCCTCTGCCAAAGCGGGGTCAACGAGGGAGCAAAGAGAGAGAAAAAAAAAATAAAACAAGACTCTCTTTCTTTCTGTCGTGCCTTCCTTCTCTTTCTCTATCCCTCTTACCTTTTGCAGTCAACACCTTTTTTCTTTCTTTCTTTCTCTCATCTGGTCCTCTGCTCTCTCTCTCACTCCCGCACATGACGTAACATCAGCTTTGTTTATTTGCTGCCCTTATTGGAACAGAATGATAATGAAAATAACTGGCTAATTGGCAATTAACCAGAATGGTAATTAACATTGTAGAGTCTCTGATTGTTGGGAACACTGTTGGAGAAAATGAGCAGTGCAAATTTTTCTTTATTTATGTAGAAATTTAGTGAGAGAGGAGGGAAAAAGTTACATCTATCAAGAGAAAAAAATGTGCCAGGAGTAGAAATGTTGCAGTCTTGGTCATCATGTGTGTGTTTTTCTACGTGCAAAATACCGTTTGTGTTGTCGTGTCTGGAGGTTTAGGCTGCAAGTAAACGGAGAAGACGCCAAATACTCCATGTGCATTCAGAGCTCCGTCCCCCGCTGCTCCGGACATTCAGCAAGCCCTCGGATAAACACACAATTAGGGCAGGTGAATAAACTTGTTTGGGGGGTGTTAATTACATGCTTAACGTAAACAAAAGCCATGTAAAAGAATGTGAATTACCAGTGGCTTTTTCCTCCTGAATCCCCATTCAGGTTTTACATTTCACCTCTGGTCTCTTCTCGGAGTGATTTCCGAAGTGCCTGCGAGGGCTTCTCCCTCCTAAACATAATGCTGGATAATACCTGCAGCCCCGGCTTGAATGGTGATCACCTAAATTGGTGCACCGTGGAACCCGGGCAGGTATGGGAGGCTTTGCATATTCGGAGTGGTGCGGCTAAGCCTGCACTCTCAACTTCATTTTGGGGTCGTGCGTGCATGCGTGTGCGTGTGTGGGAGAGAGAAGAGGGAGAGATTGGAAGGGGTGGGGGGTGTGTAGGCTAGGAGGTTAGTTTTAACACCAGCATGAAAATACCAGGCTTTACTTCCAGTCCACGGCGCTTTCCAACGGGACCAATTCAAGTGCCACTTGGAATTAGTTCTCCTGAGGTTCGATCAGCAGCGCAGTGGACAGGTTTGATCCCAGATACCACCCTACCCCCCCTCTCTCACACACGCACACACTTCCAAAAGACACGCACAAACCCAAACGCCTGACCCTGCAACAAGATCATCACCACCCCTGCTCCGTATCACATACACCAACAGACACTTGCACAACACGCGTGCACGCTCACACATGCGGGAATTAGAGTGATGATGATGCACCTCTATATCCAGAACACTGATGCGTAAAAGTGCAGAGAGGTGCATAAGTGATCCGGTGTTTGATGAAGTGTGTCATCTGAAATGATGAAATCGAGAGGTTGCACTGATTTTTGAAAAGCATGTGGATCTGGTCTACTCACTGTCCGTGCAAGCTTGGAGTCGGTGGCCCATCGGCCAGCCCCGGAGAATGTGCAAATCTGAGGGAGAGGGAAGGAAAAGTTTTGAATTCCTGAATGATTTTGTAGAAAGGCGGCTTAGGATCATTATGTCAGCTTTATTGAGGGCGGATTAAGTGGAGTCTAGATGCTACGCCTTGTACACGGCCCTTTCACAATGTGAGCTCTGTTCGTGTTAGAGTGAACTCACACTATTTTAACACCCTATAAGCCCTGTCTAAATATGAAGCCGTTTTAGCCATAAACATGAAAATCACACCGCCGCAGCTACTGCTATAAGCCGAGTCCTGTGACTGGATGTGGACATGGATCGTCTCCTTACCACTAGATCAAATACATGAAAACTGCTTTTATGTCCCAAGAAGCTTTCATGTCGCCATTTGATTGTAATTCCTATACTAATGGTATTAATTAGAGGGCTGGGCTAACACTACCCCGTGATAAACGGGTGGCATGAGGAGGGTGATGCCTTTGGCAAATTAGTTTTCGAACTAAAACGCCATGACCTTTGTTTGATCAACAGAAAGCTGCGCATCGATATTCATTTGGAACAATAAATTGTGTTTGTTGGAGAGGAGGTAGCGGGCAAGGGGCCAGAGCTGCGCCCAGCGTCCCAGAGGCGAGGCCGGGGACAGCAGGAGGAGGAGCGGCATCACTCTGCAGCCGGCAGCCGGACCTGCACCCACTAAACACACAGTAACCGCACACACCAGCAAAAGCCATGCTCAGACCAAATCAGAGAGCTGCAAACATGCGCTTCAAAACACACCGACAAAAAGCCAGAAGGTGAGAGGATTCTGTCATCAAAACAGAAAGTCATCTCTATACGGAAAAGAGGAGAAAAAAACAACAAAAGGCATTTCTGTCTCTCGCGTGAAAGTGAATGGACTGAAAAGGTGAGAGAAGTAGCTAATGCGTGAAAAAAAAGTAGGAAAATGATGTGCAGATTGACTCGCTTCTATTCAAAACGTGCATTCCGGAGTTGCAGTCATTGGTTGTCCATTTGTCACCCCTTTAAAGCTCCCACTGTCTCCCTCCCTCCCTCCCCGGCTCTGCCAAGCATCTCCAGTCTACATATCTTCTTTAGCTTTAACGAGCCTCGTTAAGATCGCAATAATATTCCACCCTCTAATTGCTCATTCCATTCAGCAGATAGGCGAGCATTGGCTTGTGCCTGATGCGCGCGGTGCGGTGGGAGGGTTGCTGTGGAGATCCGAGACTCTGATAACCCCCCGTGCGTGCTGCACAAGTGGTGAAAGCCTCGCGCTACGTACTGGCTAATGATTGGCACGCTTGACAGTGATTGGCAGGGCTGCCATGACAACGCTACAACGACACCAAGAAGACCAATAGAAAAGGGAAACAAAATGTTTCAATGCTACACTCAACGGCGGATTTAGGGGGGAGATATTATGAGGCTGGTGTCATTAGGCGATAGCCATTGAATCATTCAATCTTTTTTACCGGCCGTGTTTTTTCGGTTTTTCCCTTTTCTCGATAATTTCTTTTCTCTCAGGTCATTTCCATGGTTTTCAGATCGCCTTTAGAGCTTTATCCCTCCCATTTCTTCCTGCCAAACTTCGCTGATCGCCCTCTGCTCCTGGCGAACAGCGCTCCCACCACCAGGTCTCCAGAAGACTTGTCCATGTTTCAGCTACCGACCCTCAACTTCTCCCCGGAGCAGGTGGCGAGCGTCTGCGAGACGCTGGAGGAGACCGGGGACATCGAACGGCTGGGCCGCTTCCTCTGGTCCCTGCCGGTGGCTCCGGGAGCGTGCGAGGCTATCAACAAGCACGAGTCCATCCTGCGCGCCCGGGCCGTGGTGGCGTTCCACACGGGGAATTTCAGAGACCTGTACCACATCCTGGAGAACCACAAGTTCACCAAGGACTCGCACGGAAAACTGCAGGCCATGTGGCTGGAAGCGCACTACCAGGAGGCCGAGAAGCTTCGCGGTCGTCCCCTTGGACCGGTCGATAAGTACCGGGTGCGGAAGAAGTTTCCGCTGCCTCGGACCATCTGGGACGGCGAGCAGAAGACGCACTGTTTCAAAGAGCGGACACGGAGCCTGCTGCGGGAGTGGTACCTACAGGACCCGTATCCAAACCCCAGCAAGAAAAGGGAACTGGCTCAAGCCACTGGACTCACTCCTACACAGGTCGGAAACTGGTTTAAAAACCGGAGGCAACGAGACAGAGCCGCGGCAGCCAAAAACAGGTTGGTGCTTTGTGTTTGTGTGCGCGCTGTCAGAGCGCAAGTTGCTGAAAAGTTTGCTTAAATGCTTTTAATTCGAAGTGGAGCTCATATTTGGTATATAGTTGTGCTGGCGGACAGAGTGTCTGGGAAAAAAGACGAGTCTGTGTGCGAGGGGAGGGAGCAGGCTGCGCCGACATTTTTGTTATGAAGTGAAAACAGGATGAACACTCAGGAGAGGATTCTCGCTCAACTACACAGTCACAACTTGCTTTAAATTAAACTTTTGATTTTTTCCTAATAAAACTGCTTCATAAACATACTTGTGAGGTAGGTGTGCAGACTTGGCCGGTATTTTAAAGAAATCTTGGAATTATCAGACATTAAAAAAACACATCTGATGATAATAATACGCACTCATTTACGCGTTGAAATACCCTCAAATTTCCAAAAAGTATGAATAATTTTTTAAATCATAAACCGAGCAGCTGATGAAAACAAAGTGTGTTGTGCTTTGACAGGAGCAGCTTGTTTATCTTTTCCGTGAGAGTGAAAGTGTCCAAACAAATATAAAAAGAGCATAAAATGACATTAAAAAACATTAGTGTGATTGACTTGTTGATACTAAAACATCTTGTGATTTGGTGATTGTGAAGAAACCTTTTTAAACGACCTTTGAGTTATTTCTGCATTTTTGCAGCAAAAAGAATTACCAGGAGTTTTTAAATTCCTCTTACTATCATGTGAAAAAATTCCTGCACCTGTAAATACGTTTAAAATGTATTTTTCTGCAAATATTGGAAACAATTTTTGTATATTTTTTAAGCTTTTTTACGATTTATTTACGCCACATTACATATAAAGGCTGCATGCATCATGCTGTACACTGCTTTGAAAATTTTAACATCACGTTACTTAGCATTGTTGAAAAAAAGATGATCTCAGAGGGATAATACAGATATTACTGATATTACTCCACAAAAATGAGCATGCGTATTAAAAGAGCTTTTGCAGAACATAGGCTGCATTAAGTGTGGTATCGTTCCATTGAAATGCTATAATTGATTAGAAAATAAAACGAAGAGGACTAAGCCATATGAATACTATTCTAATCTTTTTGCTAAATGAAGGGATAGATTTCCAGGCTGATATTATCCCGCCGTGATGGAGTTATTATCGTGAGTGGATTGGAGATAAACATTTAGGATGATTGAAGTAAACCTGCAGCTCCACGTCACTCATTCATACACTTCCATCCCACTGAAATACATGTGTGTCAAAGCCTCGTGGACAAAGGGCCTATATTCTATTTAAATCTACAATCAGCATTTGGGTTTGAAGCTGCAGGGGTCACCGGGATTTGGAGAGTGTGCAGGGAGGAAGAGCGATGATAAAAGTAGAGATGATGATGAAGGTGGAAATACAACCGACTCGCTCTAAAAATACACAACTCTACTGCTTTTATTAAATCAACAAAGTAGGGTTTAAAGTTTGATTTTCCCGGTTTGGTATGATCTGGACTTGAATTATTAGGCTGCTGACTCGCGGGTTGATCATGTCTACATTTGCAGAGAAAAACCCTCCATTACATTGCATTTCTTCCAAGATTTAGCAGACTAAATAGTGCTGTGTTTTGTCCCCTGAAAGCTGGCTATTTGATAAAAGCATGCATGCATGGCTGGGGCCGGCAGGGGGAAAGAAAAGGCGAGTTTGAACCCCTCTTTTGCACGGGGGAGGAGGAAGAGGAGGAGGGTGAGGGGGAGACATTCTCGGGTCTAATTGCCATTTCTCTCTTTTTTCTTCTTCTGCTTCTTCTTTTTCCCCAACCTCCTCCTTCTCCTACTCCTACTCCTCGCTTCTTTTCTTTTCCTCCAGGCTTCAGCATCAAGCAATAGGACCGAGTGGTATGAGATCGCTCTCAGAGGCCGGTCTCACCCCTCACAGCTCGGCGGAGTCGCCTTCGACCGCAGCCAGTCCCACCACCAGCGTGTCCAGTATGACAGAGCGAGTCGATACTGGGACGTCCATCCTGTCCGTCACATCCAGTGACTCGGAGTGCGATGTATGATACGGAGGGGAAAGGAGGAGGAAAAAAAAAACAACACACAAAAACAAACACAAAAAGAGAAATATTTACAGGGAAAATGGACCTGAGAGGAAGAAAAAAAGACTTATGAAATATCGCGGATGAAAAAAGGACCGATTGATATAAATATTAAAATAAAAAGAGATAAAGCACGTCGTTTTTTTTTTTTTTTTTTTTTGTTTTTTTATTAAAAGCGCTTTCAAAAGGACCCACGCCTCCCCCTCCTCTTCATACCCCCACACCACCGCCACCACCACCACCACCACCACCACTTCTACTACTAGACTACTTGCATGATGTTTTTTTTTTTTTTTTAATTTTATTTTGTAATCAGGGAAAATAACCTGAATGCAAGATTCTCCATCAGGAACATCGATCAGAGGGAATAAAAACAGATCGTCTTGGTGTCTTCGTCGCCCTTTTTTTTCCTCTATCCATCTCCGTTTTTCAGTCCAAGTGATGATGATGATGATGATGATGATGATGACGCCACGCAGACAAGATGCAATCCTGTTTTTTTTTTCTTTTTTACTTTGTGTTCATCAGACAATCATTTTAAGTCGTAAGCACCTTTTTTAAATACACTTCTGTCACTGCCTGTGTGGGGTTCATGGTCTCAAAAAAATGTCGTTTATGACTGTATCAGATTTTTATTTTTATTTTCAAAATTTTATATTGAATTATGTATATCTCAAATAATGCGATCATTCTCCCGGTCTGTAATATACGTGTAGAAATATTGCTTGTACATAATTATTGCTCTCCCCCCTCTTCCTCCCGTCTCATCCTCTTTTCTATCCCTCCCTCACTTTTCTTGACTTGGTGTTCCTACATAAAATATTTGTCAAAACTTACAACTCAAGTGCTCTAGGCGTTTTTGTTGCTTTTTTTGGGGGGTGTTAAAATGACATATGTTGCCATTCAGAAGTAAAATATGAAAAGTGGAAGAGCTTGTTATTACTACATTTATTCAAGTGCAGGCTAGCCCCCCTCTCCTCTCCTCCTCTGAGCCGCCCCGGGGTCGCCCAAAGCGCTTATTTACATTATTCAATGTTTCTTTTTCTTGCGTGGTTATTATGTTAATGTACCATACAGCATTTCGAATTGACATACAGTATTCAATTCGCCATACCTCGTCCCGGTGATGTTATCTCTCCATCCGATTACGGATAAGGACATTAATAAGTGGCTAAACACATGTTCATATTGGCTCATTATTGGATTGTTGGAGCATTAATGCTCATCTGGGCTTACGCGTAAACCCGGGCCAGGTTAGAGAGAGAGCCAGCGAGATGAAGTCAACTGATTTTTTTTGCGGGATGTATTTTGAGGGGCAAGGTGTTGTACCTTTTATTTTCCCTATAAGAAGTAATGTTGATTTTTTTCTTTCTGCTGGATACTGTAGGTAAATTCGCCTCTGTATGCTCCATAAATTCTGCCAAACGTCAACGTCATCCAGCACTTAAAAATGTGAGTGCTATTTCCCCCTTTGTTTACCGTTGCCAGTGAATACAGAAATTAAGTAAACGCGCCATTAAATGGGCTAATCACGATGGGACTCCTCCCCTGTCCCAATCTCCCATTGTGGCCCGCTGAAAAGGGCTTTTCTTCCTCGGACGAGAACCATTTCCCCCCTCCAAAAAGGCTTTCTCTCCTGCAGTCCCTTTCCATCTAAATCCCCAACCAATTATGCTGCAGACTGGGGCACATCTCGCTATAGGACACAGTAGTAGGATGTATAGTTTCTGGTGGTAACACTTGCGCAAAGACTTGATCTCCTGGAAGCATAGCGAAGGATTTCCCGCATGTTAAACCAGCGACCTATTAGCAGTAGTTGATTCTGAGATTATGTGACTGTTGCTGTCTTGTTTAAAGCAACAAAAAGTTGGACAGATGCGGCTGTCTGTTACATGGAGAGCGCAGGACTCTTTTGGAAAGTGGTGCTCGGCACAAAAAAGCGACGGCTTTTGAATTTTTTTAAGACATGAAACAGAAACTTTTCTGTCTCCAACAAGTGTAACACTGGTCCCTTTGGACCGTCTGTTGTGTCAGGAAAACAGGATGTTTAGAGGGTTTTCCAGGATGTTTGGCAATTTTGTGCAAAGTCTGACAAGTTAAATCTGAGAATCTGTGAGTTGTGTGTGTATGTGTGCGTAAATGCGCACGCCAAAAGAGGCAGAGAGGTGGTATTCAAATGTTAGAATAGAGAGCAGGAAACCAATCAATGTACAAAAACATGCCCCATTAGACTAGTTGTATTTGTTGACGTAGTGGACTGAGGTCATTGATGGTGCTGGTTAAGGTTACGTATGTGAGAGAGCTGGACGAAATTTATATCAATAATGAGAAATGAAATGATGTTTTATTGTGGTAGAGACGGAGAGAACCGGTCTGCTAAATTTGAGATGTAGTCTGAGAAAAGTTAGAATTGATTCATAGTAAACTTAGTCGTGGATAATGCAGATCTGACAACAGATGGTGTTTTTTTTTCCTCTTGATAAATGTTATCGTTGTCCACTGGATGATATGTGCGCATTAGCCGAGTCTCTCTCAGACGGATACCAATCAAAACACAATAACAAGGGTGTCAAAAGCTCAAGCCAGTCGACTCAAAGGGCCTGTGATCCTGAAATAACCGAGGCCAGAATGTAGACAAACGCAGAGCTCAGCTGCCTGCCTGAAACAAACCCTCTCTCTGCGCGCTCATTGGCAGTCGATCGCAGATGAAGCAAATCTGTATCATATTTTCTAAACCCTTTCCGGGTCTTAAACCGGCCTGCTAGAGACAGATAGGCCCTATCAAGAGCACCGAGGGGCCATGGCACCGCCGCACCAGCAGACCCTTATCACACACACGCCCCCCACCTCTCCATTTACGCACTCCACAAGTTTTATTGGCTGCGACAAGTCCCGGCTATGATTGAGATTAAATTAATCGTAAACTGAAGAGCGTTTTTATCGGCAAAGGAGGACACGAGGATTAGGGCTGTATATCTGAGAGATGGAGCCTCAGATAGAGACTCATGAATACCAAACAAGCGATGAATGAATGGGCTTCATTTGCGCTGCGTTACGCTCATTATCCAAAGGCTGAGAACAGTGTGCAGCTTTAATGTGCACACATAAACTTAATTTATTTTGGAAAAATAAAGAAAACAATCTGTTTATGGAAAAAAAATTCCTCGAGAATCTCTGCAGTCGCCTTTTACACTTCCACATCCAAGATCAGCATGCACCCCACAGACACACTATAATATTCCACAAAGATTCCCACCAAGATTCTTGCCAACCATGTGCTAAAGGAGTATTACAAGAATTCTGGGCCTAGACATGAAGCCAGAGACACGCCAAAGCTAATACTAAATAAGTACCGTGATGATTACTCATTAGGGCATGTTTAAACATGTAAACAAGCCGCATGTAAACAGGTACGAGAGCGTCTTCGCTGTAAACATATGTGGGCCAGAGCAGCAGCAGCAGCAGCAGCGGTACTAAGAAAAAAAAGTGCTGCAAGTGTGAGTCTATCTGTTGCTGGCTGGGGTCATTAACAGTGGGGGAGCTCTTGTTCGTGATCTGTCAACTCAAATATGGATCACCAGACAAAGGAACTTAGCGAGGAGTAATCTGTGTGTGTGATACTTACATGAGAGTAAACGAGAATGTGAGACAAGTGCGGCAACAATGGGAGCTCCGCGTGTTTTCCTCTCTTTTCGCTCCCTTTAAATTGTTTTGCGTTTGTGTGAGCTGGTGCATCTGTCAAACGAGATTTGCACTGACATCCAGCTGAACGTCAACAACATAAAGACAATTAGATTTTCACATATGGCGTCCGTGTTTGAAGTCAGAGTGGTTTGAGCACAGGGGGGTATTACTCTGCTGTAAAAGGTGACTAATCCTTGAGTGTTTTTCACGCGTTAAAAGGCCATAGTTTACCCTGCTTTAAAATCACAGCTAACACATGTTGTACACCGAAGTTAAAGCTGACAGTCAGTCCAGCTATAAGGAACAAGAGGAAGGGGAGGAGGAGGAGGAGAAGGGGGGCTATTAAGCCGGAGTCTGGCGGTGAGAAATACTTGCCCTGCCCTGTTTTTTCTCGGATTTCACCGGTTAACTGAACACAACTTTACTATTGGTGTGTATTCATGCAGCAGCCAAAGAGCACCAGTTTCCCTGTAGCCTCTGCAGCGCGGCTGTCAGTGCAGGAATGAGCGGGGCCCTGTGGACTTAACTTTCTGCTCTCTCACTCTCCACTGTCTGCATTAGGTAAGACGCAGGGCTGCAGTACTGGCTGAAGTTTATACTGAGTTAAATGCACGTGACTTCACAATCGGAGGGCTCTTCTTTTGGGCTATTAATGGCAATAAAACCACCTTTATATAAAGTCAAGTCTACAATATCACCTTATAACATTCCCTAACATTCCCCTTAAATCACATTCATACAATAACAAACTGTAGTGACGGCCTTTCACGCAAATGTTGTTTATAAGAGTGGTTATGATAGGAAAGATGAAATTAAAATCAATAAATTGTAAAGAAATTAATCAACTATGTCATCATGGGTGTTTATGACGACTTTTGGCGTGGTTTGAAGCAGGTCGACGTCATGATTTGTGCGTAAATTCGACGTTTTTTTGTATAATTTTGATTATGTGTCTCCATGCCCATCGTGCGTAAAATGTGCGCCTTTTCTCTCCACCGATGCCAGCCGCCATACACCTGCTGCTTGTTGTCCAGCCCCACACACAACCTCACCACAGCCACAGTCACTCCTAACACGTATCACACTCCTCCTCTGTAAGTCAAGGCCAGTGTTTGAAAGTGTCCATCTATTAAATAGTAATTTGGAGGTCATACAAGGCAAGAGGCAGTAATGCTGCACCAGTGTGTGAGCTTTCATTATATGTAGGCTACCGTGTAAACACAGATGGGATCATTGTCTCTCTTTGTCATAGGTAGGTTGGGTAAGAGGTGTGTGTATGCATGTGTATGTGTATGTGTGTGTGTGTGTGTGTGTGTAGTGGTGGGGGCCTGAAGAAATGCTTCAGTGTAATGCTGATTAGTGTGGACTGCCATTGCACAAGCCTCATCTTTTTAAAACAAGCATAACATGAAAGCAAACCCAACTCTGGCTTACTCAAGCGAACATGACCCCCCCAACACACACACACACACACACACACACACACATACACACACACACACACCCCTACACCTACACACACATACATCACTGTCACGAGCAAATGTGCACGCCTTACACTAACAGCACACATGGAGGTTGTGTGCGTGTGTGTGTGTTGGGGTGGGGGCTCTGGCTGGGTGCAGGCTGTGATCTCTCGCCTTGTGCACACCGAGTGGACAGAGGGCTGAGCAGCTTAAATAGAGCCCCAGCACCTGTGTTTTCTGCCGCCGTTCTCAGGCCTTCTTCTTGGCGTGGCACCGCTCGGCACAGCTCGAATGTCAGCACTGAGAGTAGAACATCATGATAGGATAAACACCGTGCGCCTCCTATAACAGAGAAGGACAACATTTTTTCCAATGATGTTTTTTTGATGAAGGAATATCATTAAAAAAATCAAAATTAGTCAACTTTAGCAAAATGTGTAAAAATTAAAGTTAAACTATGTTGACCACAATTACAGTCAGAGATTGAGAGTGAATATTTCAATTCAAGGTTCATACTAAATTGAAATAGTCTATTTATGTTGATGTGATCGACACTTCCTGCTTCTTCTACACTTGTAAAGAAAACTACTAAAACAGACTCTGTCCTCCTCTCTAACTTGGTGCGTTATGGTGACTCGTCCCCCTCTGCTCCCCCCTTTTTTCCTTCCATGAATTGGTAATTGTTTGTTTCCTGGTCTGATACTGAATGCTTTTGTCCGTCAGCTGGAGCTCCTGCCTGCCCTGGTTCTGAAAGCACCGGATGAACCTGGACATGGACACCCGGTCCCGCTGTGCCCACGGACAACACACACATTTTAGTCTTTATTTTTTTCCCTCTTTCTCAGGGCATTAAGGTCTGGACCATAATACAAGGAACTCATGGCATTTATGGACGGAAATGAGGCTCTGGGTCAACAGTAAATTGGCAAAATGACAGACGTTATGCCAGAAAGGCTCTACATTTTTACAGCGTTATTTATTGACTGTGGGTTGACTGTATATTCCTCCAAATCAAGAATAAATTTGAAATTTATTTTTTGTTTCCAAAACAATGTGGAAAAGGCCTGAAATTGATTGATTTTTTTTAAGTCACAGATTTTAAATTCAAATTAAACACCTGATACTGTTCAGGTCATGGAAGTACGTATAATTCAAATAAAGGAAAATATAAAATTGACATTAAAAAGAAAAAAAAAGGCCTACACTTCAATCCGTGAAAGTGAAAATAAACAGGATTGAGATTTTACGCAAATAGGCCTCTTCGTTTTTATGGATAAACTAAGCTTAATGCTGTGTAGCCATACATATGTTTTCCTGATGTGTTTGTCTAAATATGTTTTAAGCTCTTGTTTTAGCAAAGCACGCCTATGACACGCCTCCTTTCTGTGCGCGTGCACTTCACAGAGGTCACGGATTGACTGAGGCCTGAGTGTCCGTGTCAATTAAACCTCCATTTACAAAGCTATGGCATGGATTACCCAGGATGCTCCACAAACAGTGGGAGGAAAAGAGTGAGGGGGACAGTGGAGGTACAGGCAGGTGCGGATCCGGATAGCGGGGCAGACTGAGCGGGGCAGACACAAACGTGGGCCTTCACTGCCATCTAGTGGGCGTTTGAGGAAGAAGCATGACTCTGCGGACTGTGTTTCCCTGAAAACTGCTTCTCTTATATCAGGGTGTTTGAGGGACAAAACTTGAGGTGTTTAACTCTGTCTGATTAAAGTTTATTTATCTAGGCTATCTTTATTTAATATTCACACAGTTTTCTTTTGGCCTCACATATTTGCTGTTTTCTCAAAATGTTGAGGACGATAAAGTCACCAAATAAGAATCAGAATATTTGATCCTATAGGGGGGAAATATTGTAGTGCAATGTAAATTTTCATGTCCCGCAAGTGTCATCACTGCATACAATAAATCCAGCGTTTAAGATGGAAATACTTTTTTCTCTTTTGAAGTTAACATGTACTCTAGTTAATGTCAGTGCAAGCATGAACATACATACACAGGCTTGCACTACAGGGACAAGAGCAAGCCAGTGAGTTCATACCTCCCACACAGACACATATATACACACACCGTACAGGGGTGCAGTCATTAAAGTTTCATTGCATGAAAGTCAAATGATGTTGGAACACCGAAGCAGTGTCTCCATTTAGAGCTAGATGAAGGATTCAGACGCCAGAGAGTGAAATGAAACCCTTGATCCCTGGTTAATTTTTAAAAACTGATACCCAGAGTTTTACTGAGGCCGCAAAGGAGACAAGTGACTGACTGCTGTGTGTGTGAGAGTGAGGAAGATGGTGGTGAGGGAGGGAGGAAGCATAATGGTGTCCGCTGGAGCGCGGCCTTTTAGAGTTTAACTCTCCTATTATAGCGAGCGGGGCAGGGGGGAGGAAGAGGACACAGAGAATGCAACAGAGAAGGTTTCACTGTAAATGGACAGTAAAACGCTTGCGGCAATCCACCATTAAATCATTGCAGGAGAAGAGGCCGGCATGTTACACGCCACGAGCAATAACTCTTTCATTTCCTGGCTTCTACCCCCTTCACATGTCTCAAACAGTTTCAGCCCCATTTCAGGTTCACATGAGAGGATAAGAAACCTTTTTGTGAGAGGTCATCAGAGTTGATTTACAGAATCAGCAGCTCGGTGGATGGATGGAAATGCATCTTATGTCCATTGACATGTTAGCTGATTTACCCTGGAGGTAAAACGTGCATTTTAGGATAAATTAACTAATTCTTTGGCTTTGAGCTCATTTAAAAACCTGTACAGGATGACGGCAAACTAACACCCCGCAGTCTCTGTTAGCATTTAAAGGACGTACCTGCATACTGTATGTGAAACCAAATTTCAGTCTCCTTCATTGTCCACATCCCTCCTCACATATTCATCTCCCTGAATCCATCTGAAAGGTTTTGCTTGTCCCAACTGCTTGGATGAAAATTAACCATCTGGAAAAAAAAAGGGAGAGAAAGTTTAATGAAACTCATGTTTCAAACTCACCCTTCATTGTCTATGAGAGCCTCTACTTAAGAGGTGCATGTCAAATGTACCTTACTGGTTAATAACTGGCTTAGGGCTCCAGAGACCCTCAGCTGAAGCGTGCTGTTTTGTCCGACCACTTTTTCTATTTTTAATAAGTTCCTGAACATGAGTTGGTTCGGGGAGGATCTTTAAAAACGGCCTCCGTCCCGAGGTGGCCTCCAAAACACATGCATTATTGAAGCATGCACCGGCCCTGTCCTCCGCTCTGCCTTCACTCAGTCCAGTTCAGCAAACAGCAGCAGCAGCAGCAGCAGCAGCAGGAACAGCTGCAGAGCTCCCAGAAGAGCCAGGCGAGGAGGAGGAGGAGGAGGAGGAACACACAGGAGGTGTGTTCAGAGCTCAGAGACCTCATGTAGGACTGTGGAAGAGAGAGGCAGAGGAGCAGATACAGGTTGAAGACTCAAATATCCCCAACTAGTTCACATTTATTTCAGATCAAATGCTTCTTTGTTCATTCAGGAGGGGAAACATTGTGCAAGGGAAAATCTACCTACACATCGATGTAAATAAAAATGAGAGACTGAACATCATTGTGGAGGTTTTTACATTTTAGAATAAATGGAAAAATAAATAAAAAAAGATAAATATAGCATTTCAATTATTTGAAGAGCATCATGGGCACTGAATGCTCACTAAAACCAGCTTTAAAATATGAAACTGAAAATCATAGGTCTATTTGAATTTCATGAATGCTAATCACGGTTTGTTATTGGGTGTATTCATTTACATCAGCAGTAATTCAAAAACATTTCCCGTATTTAAGCTCCTATGAAGAGTCTATTTATTATTATAGAGTCTATTTACAATCATTATAATGTGGATGTGTTTCAGCAAAGATGTTTGAAACAAAAATATACACCTTGTTTTAGAGTAATACTTCATAATCTTATCATAGAAAAAAAATGTCATGAAAACGTCATTTATTCAACACCACACAACTTCAACTCTATGAATGTTTATGTGTATATCCTTCTCTTCATGACTTCTTGACACACACATATATCCATGCACACACACACACACATGCACACTATCAAAACCTAATGTGATGGCAAAGGGAGCAGTTGAGATCTGTGTAAATGGTCAATTGGCTTAACTCGGTGGTGTCTGTTCCTGGTGTGACCATGTCAGTAGGCAATGTGCAAATGTGTATTCTTTTGAAGTCCCTGATGTAATCCTCTGCAGCACACTGGTCCCTGTAAAGCCCCGGGGAGCAGAGATGAGTGGGAGCAGAACAGTGTTTGTTCTGGGATTAAGATATCACTTCCTCCACTTTAGTCATTCAAATGTCACACGCACGAGTGCAGAGTGCAAACACTGCGTGTGTAATTCTTGCACAAATACAGTGTCTTTAGTCTCTGTGTTCCCAATAACTTTATGACTGTATTTCTGCAAAATGTGGCCGTCTCATCGTGTTACACTGCCATCTGGTGATCTACCGTATAATGAATCATATACACCTAAAAATGACCACGTTGTCATTTTTATCTAGATACAGATGGTATGTTACAGTTAACCTAGGGAAGCTTTCAGTGGGATCTATCAACATTTGGATTTAAAGTGTTGCAGCACTTAGCAGTGAACTCTGGTCAGCTATACCAACCAAAAATTACTGGAAAAAGTTAAAACAAATATCTTTTTAAATTTGCAAAGACCTCGGTTGTAAATATTTTAGTTGTTTTCTTTTTATTAATTGTTGATCTTCCATCAAAGTCTGATTGCCAAAGAAAATATCAGCAACTGTTTGTGATATTACATCTTAAACTCAAAGGTTTTGTCATGAGCAGGTTTTCTGCCATCACACATGAATACAATATCATGCCGTTACACCTTTTCTCACCACTGGAAGGATTTCAAATGCACCCGTTTAAGTAGATTTTGCAACCTCTGACTGTAAACTGTATTCATAGTATCTTGGTTTCCATGTACAGTATTAGCTGGCTGCTAAATGGAGTTCACTTATTATTGCCAACCATGCTTTTCAAACAAGCACAACTAACTACATGTAAGCCATGCACTTTCATCCTTGAACCTCAATATTAGCTTGTAAGTGGTCTGAAAACACAAGAAACTGCAGGTATTTCAAAAGATGGTAAAAATTAGGAGAGAAAGTGTAAATAAATGTGAGATACAATATGAGCGAAGGCGTCAGATTACAGATACAGTATGATGGGAGGAAAACTCGTGCATCATAAAATATGAAAAATAACTGTCTGCCTGTATTTTCTGGTTATTCAAAAGGACTGGAAATTTGTTAAAACTACCTCTACATGTCATACAATGAAAACAAAAGTTAGGTATTAATAATAAAAATGCCTTACTTCAGCCACCAGGTGTCATCATGAGCTCAATATTGGAAATGTGTCTATATCTATGAAACCATAAACTGGGAGTGAATCTAAAGTGAAGGACAAACATAACAAAAAAGCATGGTATCTTGTGCTTCCACCCATACATATATTACATGTAAAACTATTCATCGTACGGCTTCATAGATTCACTCTAATGCAGCTCTTTCTGGTGTCTGTAAAGGTTAGTAATGGCATTCATGGCTTCCAGATCCATTCCAGTAGTTATATGTGTATTTGTCAAGTCAAGTGTACCATAAATTAGAAATGGTGTATACAGAAGCTTTAAGGTCACTGACACACACACCCCACTGTGTTGTGAAATTATACCCGTGGCATGTTTTCTGCATTTCTCACTCCAAAAATCGCTCTGGCTGAAACCCAGCAGCGTTTGAAGAGCAGCGGAGGAGCTAATGAAGCAGCAAGAGAACGGCAACAAAGCAAAAAAGAGGACTTCAAGCAGCTGCCATTGCTGAGGGTGAGGAACAAAACACACAACAAGAGGAGTCCACAGCTTGGAAACCAGTCTAGTGTAAGTTATCAGGAGAGGGGAGAGGGGGGAGACAGAGGGAGGGGGGCAGAAAGAAGATAGAGAGCGCTGAAGATAGTTTTTGTTATTTTCATGGCCACTTACTTCAAAAAGTAAACAAGGATATGGATTTGGAAGACACTTAGGACGATATTGTGAGTGCGTGTGTGTAATAATATTTTTGCAAGCATGGGACTATACAGTCCTTTGCACAAACTTGTCTTTTGTACCACAACATCATCCAAATACTAGGAGAAGTATCAGCAAATGCATGAAAAGTGTGAGAGCACGGTGCAGCTACACTTCCAAGCCTGATTCTAAAGATGTCAAAGATGTTATCATTACATTGTTATTGTATGATGACTTTTTTAATACATTCTCAAGTCCAGTAGGAGGAAACATGCACATACAGTATGCAGTATGACTGCAGTATGGCTGTCAAACCTCACAGATAAAAACACAGGATTGGTCCTTCTCTAAAAGAGCACATAAGATTTGGCCTGAAAACTTCCCTTTCATCTCATGTTGAAGCAGACTTTGGCAAAATAGGAATATTTCTGTAAAAAAAAAAAAAAAAAAAAAAAAAAATTCTAATCAAATATTAATTAATGTGTGTCATTATGCATGATGACTCTACAGGTTTGTACAGCAGATAATGAAGGTGAGGTAGACTTGCTTTTGTTTTATTAAGCATATTGAATGATGTTTTGATGTATTTTACTCATTGTGAAATCTGTCCTCAGAGTGCAGTTGCAACTATCAGTATAAATATTTATGTTACAAAATTTATGCTATTTGTTTATTCCTTTGCATATGATACTGTGCTACGATATTAGACCATAAAATGTATGAAAAAGGTTGTATTATAAATTAAATTAATTCATTTTTATACACTTATTACCTTGTTCTACTGTTCGGACCCCCCAGAGAAATGTAGATTAAGTGTTTTTCCCAAGATCAGTTAAATTATAAAATTATATTATGTTGTTTTTGTCCATATGACTCATTCTCTTCCATGTCTTGATACCAAACTTTTCACTTTTGCTCATTTTGTTCATGTGTGTTGTTTCCCACCTTCAGCCCATTTTACGGAGTGTCAAAAGCCAAGCTGTGCTACATTTTTGTGTTGTGTTCATGACTGTGCTCACGCTCTTCTCCCTTCTTTCCCCACATAGAGTTACACTTTGTGGCCTCTAGGTGGAAGCAGTGTTCAGCTGAAACATCTGTTTTTGGTAGTTTTGCTCCTACTCTGCTGCTGTTCCCTAAATTTAAGAGAAAACCAAACGGTTCCCTTTCACCACGTCTGTTCTGAGTTTTTTTGTTTCTCTTTAAACAAATCTACACAGAACTAAGTGGACTGGAAACAGTGGAACATTGTACGTCTGTAAAATGTGGACATTAAAGAGTGAAGTTTCACGGAACATAGTGTCTGCCTCAGGTCATTGTGTGCCAACTGCTGCTATAGGATCTATGGAGTGGGTCGTTTTTATCACGCAGATGCCTTTGTGCTTTGTCTTCCTTTTACAGAACGGCTGCTTTAGTTAAGCTCTTCCTTCAAAACAAGAAGTATGAATTCACAAACTTACCTGTCTTTGCTCATTTTCTGTTTTCCCTTAACAAGACTGACTTCTGTGACTGAAAAGGATGAGAAGAGATAATACTTTTAAGAAATTATGATTTTGATAAGTAACAGTTTACACAAGGACAGAAGGCCACGCTCTTATTACCCACGTAACTGTTAGGCAGAGTTGAATGAGATTCTGCACTTTTTATCAGCATAATACACAACATATCTTGTATCCAAAGTTTGTCTTCAGGAGTTTGAAAAAACAAAAGCCTCTTTTATTTTTTCTGCATACTAACACCTGAGTGCATGCACACGTACTGACACAAACACACACACACATAAACACGGACACACACACCTACACACTCTTTCTGCTGAGTCAACCGTCTGGCAGGTTGAACCCGTTGGTGTGTTTAGCTGGAAACAGACAAACCGCACACACTCAGACAGGCAGGCAGGCCCCGTGTGCACAATCACACTGATACTGATTGATCCAAATTAGAGGGAAGTCCCCTTTTCTTTGTTCCTGAATGGAAACACAAAGGCGCAGAGGAAGATGACAGTGAAGCACAACTTTTAACCTCCTAGAGCCACAAATAGTCGCCTTTACGGTGTACAAGGTTGAGGATCTGAAACCTAAAAGTGTTGTCAGAATTGCTCGTGTATGAGGACAGAAAGCACTCAACATGAGAAAATAATTAAATTTGGAGTAAACAAATGATGATTTTAAGAATCCAAAGACAAAAACACAGACTGAGAAGAAGGCTCTGAAGTAAAAGAGAGTAATGAATTACTTTGCCTCTAAACATTTCTCATATGAGTCTGTCTTGTCAAATACAAACACAGTTGAAGATGTATTACAGAAACTTCAGATGAAATTAACTCCCAAAAGCCTCAATTATACCTCCAAAGCACCAACGTGACGAGCCTAGAACCGTCGAAACAGCATGAGGAACAATTGACCTCAGACTATATTAAGCTACCTGTGCTGAGACCTCTAAGAACTTTAAGCTGCCATACTTGCGACACACCTGGTCACCTATTAAGTTTCAGACTACTAATGTAAAAATAAATAAATAAGATCAGCTAATGCTGAACGACGGAGCCTTTTTCATACTTATTAGGGAGTAATCTCTACTGCAGACCTTAACAAGGCAAGAAATTAGCTGCAGATTATCTGCAAAATCTTGTCCATTTAGGTCAGCATCTATTGTAATTGTTATACAAACAAATATTTTACTCATCAAACTTAAATTAAGTAAATACTTACATTTTGATGAAAAAACAAATTTCCAATAGAATTTGTGGTGGTTTTATTTTGAAAGTTATAGACAAATAAGAGGGAACGATCACAATCAAGGAGTGAAAATGCAAGTGTATTCTGTAAGGAACAAGTCTGTCTGTCAGTGTTGACATACATCTGTAGGTCTAAGGTATGCATGTCTCTAAATTGACATGAAATATGTCTTTCTAGTAACACAGCAGCCCTGTCTTTTCTTTCTCTCATCTCTATTTTTCTCTTCTACTTATTAAAATTCATTTCCTTATTGCCTTTTTTCAATGAAATTTCCCCTGTTGCAAAATTTCCTCTTTACGTGTTACTTCCTCATTCATGTAGACAGCAACATTGCTTTGTCATTCTGCGTCTTGTCGCATTGTTGAGATTCTTTTGTTGACTTGAGTGTCTGTCTACTCTCGATAATAAAGATGTTTATTATTATAAAATTATTGCTGTTATCATTACATTGATATTGTTATGATGACGACTGTTTTAATACGCTCTCAAGAAAAGATCAAGAAATCAGACTAAAATAACCAACCAAGGAAAAAAGTGTCAGAAAAGTTCAAAAGTAAACTGTTCAAACTTTGAGGTCTTCATTTCTCCATGTAGGTGTAATATCAGATGACTGCTGCTGACAATAATGAAAAGGGCGACTAAACTGATGAATGGACGAGCTTCAGAACTATTTATCTTCGTGACACTCGTGCTGCGAGTTGATATAACATCAAGTAAAAGGCTGCACAGGCTGCACATAAAATACAGCTCACTATGAAAATCTTGTGCATGATTTAACCTGCCCTTTGAGTTCAGCGTGAACACCCAGTGAAAGCATAAAGAATGGTGTAGTTAATCTTGACGCTGGACAGATTTAATGGAGCGGTGTCAGGTGACAATAGCTGGAAAAGCCATCCAAGTGAACCTAATGCGATCAGAACAGCCCCTGTCTGTCTCCCATCCAGGAATTTACAGTAGGGGGGGAAAGCCCAGGTGAGCTTGACTTAACCCTGAGTGTACACACACACATATGCACACACTGGACACACAACCACAAATACATAATACTACCACCTTTTACCGTTTACACAAACATAGACGTAACTACCTTAAAACTGTCAAAAAAACGTCCATGTGTTTGCCTAACATGATTTTATGCAAGTTAATAACCATTTATCAGGCAAAAGTCCTTCATTTACAAACATGAGCACACTGACATGGGTTATTTTATCCAACACACCACTCATGCACATGAATGCATTCACTGTTGCACATTTAAGAGACATCTACTCTGCTTTGCTGTTGTGCTCTCTGAAATATGTGTCTGCATTTACCTGGGAGACATAAAACTGTATGTTCCTTCATCGAGGATAAAGTTCATTTTATTTCCCCCCCACATGATAGGTAACTACAGGACACCTCAAACAGAAGTCATGCTATTGTAGGTCTTCAACTTTCTAAGGCTGAGTGTGTGTGCTGACTCTAAATAAGTTCAATATTTTGCTCTATTTGAACTCTTGATTTTTTGATTAGTCTCAGGTCTCAGGAGTCGGTTACAGAGGTGGAAGTCAGGCCTTGGTCGACCAGCTGACCCTCCACTAGAGCGAAAGGTCGCCGCAGTGTGTGTATGTGTTTGTGAGTGTGTGTGTGTGTTTTGTAACTGTATGCTTCCAGCACACAGGGAGTGCATTAATGCTCGTACTCCCCTGGCCATCCCTCCCTCTTTTTCTTTTTTGACCGTAACTCTACACCGTGTACCCCCTCATCCTCTCCTGCCCCCTTCCTCCTCCTCCTCCTCTCTCACTGAACCTCCTGCTGTTTTATCCTGTTTTATGGGACACACCTGATCCACCAAAAATGCACAATAGTTAAGAAGGGACTGGGATCAAAATGCTCATCAATGATCAAAACACATTGTTTGGCTGCTAAATATGATAAAATTTTCACCAAAAAACAAGAATAACTTAACTCAAATGCTTTTTGTGTCTGTGATGCTGAAGTTTTCTGAAAGCATTGATGTCTGTATTTGTTGTTGATAGCTTTGTTTTATTTTCAGTAGTGTTATTTAAACTAATGTTAATGGTGATGTTTAGTTAAAGACCTAAAAAGCGATCTTAAAATAAAATGTGTAATTATGGACTGTTGGTAGTTGCTTATGATTATTGTAAATATACAGGTCTTCGTTTGCAGAGGTTTCTTACATAAGCAAAGTAATATTAACGGTTTAAAAATACATCCATATCTTTGATCATGCTGATGTTGTTGCAGACCTGTCGATCAATTTTATACTAATAATGTCTCCAGATGAAATCTTGAATTTAAGTGCTCGTATAACTCCTATAAGCACTCAGATTACCTTGAATGTTTACATTTGACTCGCAGGGTGACTCATGCCAAACTTAAACTTCGTATTGACATATTCTGATGGTATTTTATTTCCCAACAATTTTCATATTTGATTAGGCCAGAAAAAGAAAAAACTAATGGGACATAAAACACTGTTAATCCACTCAGAATGTGTATTTTAATTCCTGCGTCTTTCTGGGTTGACTTCACAGTTCCTTGCCTGAATATGTTTGTGATTTCATCAGTTCATCTCTGCCCAAAAACATTGTCCCAGCGCTGCCAGTCAGCATAGCTCCATCAGCCAAGAGCAGAGAGTCTGTGGACCATCTGAATCCACGTTATATTTAGGAATGAACCCAAACCTCACTCACCTCAGAGGGCATTTTCCTCTCACTCTCTATGTAAGTGCAAATGTGTGTGTGTGAGCTATCATACAGAGACACTATGTTCTGGTAGTGGGTAAATTTGTTGTACTTGAATATATTGACCTGTTGTCTGTGCAGATTCACCCTTTGATAAAAACCCTGCAGCTCTTCAATCATTCTTCCAGTCATGCTTTTTCGATTATACAGGACAGTTTCCTCTATGGGAATGATTTCCTGTTACCTACTAACAGAGGAGAGGGGAGCGTTTGTCTGTCCTAGTCTCTGTTTATACAGTTTGTTGTTCAGCTCAGTTCAATAAGTTTTTTTTTTCTGTCATTTACATGCACAAGAACACACACAGACACACAAATATCCACTATTTCCTGTATGATAAGATGCTAGTTTCTATATATGGAAGCTCAGGTCTTGTCTGAAACTCTCCAAAAATGGAAATTTGAATTAAATACACCCCTTTTGGTGTTGCTTTACTACTCTGTGAGGAAAAGCGATCATTTACAGTGTAAGCATTATGGTAATGTCTGAGCCACCAGCTGACTCTCCTCTCTGTGGTCTGGCTTAAACAGTTTCACTTTGCAGTCACACTATATCAGTAATGTAAATCCCAGCTGTCTCACTCCCTTGTTAGTACAACCAGAAACCTCTATAGGCAACAAGTGGCATGAATAGTGAGGTGTTCACACTCAATGCCCTCCTTTGTTTCAGAAACATTGATGGATTTCTGTACTATCATCCTTGCGCTTCACCTTGATTTGGTGATAATTGAAAATCTGACACTTCCTGTCAAATCATTTTTCATTTTAAGATTATTTTTTATCCTTAAATGGCCTTAGTGTTTGAGCAGAATGAATCTCTGTTCCTGTTGTGCTGAAGTTCCCTTGAGCACCGAAGCAAATAACTTCTAGCCTGTGAGGGCTGCTATAAACATTTGACCTCTGACCTCCCTGAAGGGGGCCTAAGTGAAAAGTGAATTTCCCCACCGGGACCAATAATGTGCTGCACTTTAACTATCATCACTGTACCTGACATTTCTATAAACTTGTGTTGACACTAAAAAAACTTCAAAAACCACAATATCATAAAGGTTTATTTATTTCAGGTGCATTTAGACTCTCTAAGCTTCTATTTAAATTACTTTGGTTAACTTATGCAATATAATGTCATATACACTCTCTCCATCTTCAAATGTTTTAGACAGTCCTACTCAGAGTAGCATTTGATGCTCTGCTTCAAAGTCCAGACTTACAACTTTTTAATTGAATACTTTGTTGTGTTGATGTGTTTTTTTATTATTGATTTTTCTATTCAACTGATGTGTCTTTTAATTGCCCTGTAAGGTGTCCTTGAGTGCCCTGAAAGGCGCCCACAAATAAAATGTATTATTTAATGTATTTACCGATAATTAAAGACGTTTAGAAAATGAGTTGAAGTCCAAGTTTGAGCTGCTTATAGATTAAGTATCTTTCTGATTTATCAGTCATCGTCATGATTTTCAGCATTTTCCCAAATCATTTCAAGAAAGTTTTAAGTCACGGCCAAAGAATTCTCCGTTCTAATCGATTAATCAAATAAGCTACAAAATAATCAATTTGATCAAAATCGGTCTTTTTTTTAAAGAATACCACGTAATGCTCAGTGTACAAACTTGAAAGCACGTTTCGCGAATTTATTATTAATTTTATATAACATTACTCTGAGTTTTCACCTGTCTCTGATTTTTCTGAAACGGTCAAATGATCGATTAAGGCAGAAATGACGGGTATTATTATTTTTTTTATACTGAGGGAAATCATATGAAATACTTCTAAACTGAATTGACCAGTTTGACCTAAATCAAGGAGGTGGGGAATGTCATTTGCTGCTACTTAATGCGATACAAAATAAAGTAATATTATTTTTATTAATTATAAGGAGCGAATAAATTGCTCAGGGAACGAAAATGCAGCTGAAAACACAGTGTGACATTAAACAATGACTGTAGTATTCGCTGTTAAATCGATACGATATTAAACTAGGATTCAGAAATGCTCACTGAGGATGAGAGGAAAGAGAGATGCGTGGAAAAGGAGCCCGGACTCTAAAAAAAAGGAGGAATGACCACAGCTTAAAGAAACACTGGACAATAGTGTAGCTTTAGGTTGACAATAACAACCCTAACGAATGGTTATTGCAACAAAAATCCTCATTGCGATACACAGGCTTCAGATTTCCGGTCAGAACAATTCCCTCAAATGAAAAGAAAACATTTGATTTTTATGATGCCAGGACTCTGCATTCCCTCATGATTGTTTCAGGATTTACTTCCAGAGGTGAGGTTTCATTAACTTTTTACAAGACTGTTTGTTGAACTTCTCCGTGACTTCCTCAGATTGCAGTTAATTGTCAAGAGATAAAAAAAAAACCTGCGGATGAATTCGTGCCACAAACCACGTCTCTACTTCACACCTGCCCTGCTGCTGCTGCCCCTCCACTCTCCTCCTCTGCTGCTGCTGCTGTTGGAGGCCATTGTTGGCAGAGTCGCATCAGCGTTTATAACCAAGTGCCTTGTTAGGTATTTTCTCCAATGCTCGCGGATTTTCCTAACATCTCGTGCCCAAAATTGGTTTAATAGCCTCCCCTCCCCTTCTCTGGCACACATGGGGCGCTCGCAATGCCAGATCAAGTTCACATTTCTTATGAGAAACAAGAGAGAGTGGAAGCGCGAAGGGGACGAAAATCACAGCTCTTTGTGGAGTTGAAGAGTTGGTTTGGTGGGAGACCAACTATGCCGTGTTTTGTCTGCTCGCAAGCTGTTGTTACGCACTTGTTTTGAGTTGAGCTACATTCACCAAGATCCTGTTAATTACAAAGTGTGGCCTTTTGGGATTGCACGTTTAATTGACCTTTACGCGCCACAAGTTGTTCCCAGCAAAGTGTGAATGATCCTCGGCGAAGGGAAGCCGGTTTACGCATTTTTGTTTACACTTATCCAACATGAGCAGATCATTTGTGAAGGGGATACATTGTTCTTTGACTGTTCTTCCACCAGAGAAAATAGGGCCTAGTTCTCCATTTAGTTCAACGTCTCGGATTATTGTCCACAAGAAAATAAATCAGTATAAAACTCGTAAAACACCTATAAACAAATACGCTGCTATCTCTGTGGTGGATTTAATTAACGTGCGTAATGACGCATAGACAAACACCACAACTGCTGCGATTTAGCCAACATAATTTCTTTCTGCATGGACTGACTGTGAGGAAGAAAGCGTGTTTAATCAGTTTATATAAGTATGGCAGGCAAAGAAGATGTTGTTTCAGGTCCGAGCAGAGCAGACTCCGGTTAAGGGTGGATGTATGTATGGATAAAGATTGAGGTGTTGCACGGCTGAAGCTGTTCAAACAAAGTGTCTTCTTTCAACGCCCGTTTCCAGTGTAGTGTGTTGTGTTTTTTTCCCCTCCTGCTCCGTCAAACACTACGGCACTTTTGTTCTCGTGAGCCTCGCGCGGACAGATAGGATGTCATCACTTGGAAATCAGGGTTCGAGCTTTTTGGAGATGCTCGTACTTGTTTCGCTCAGCGTCGCCTCTTATGGTAGCTTACATATGTGAGTCTCTTAAGTGGTGTTGTTTTTACAAAGCACTGGATTAAGGGTTAATCCCTCTCCTACTTTTTTTTCCCTCACAACTATAACCTTAAATTGACTATTTGAAAAACGACAACTTCTGTAGCCTACACTTGACACACAAACGAACCAAAAGAGCAAACTTCGTCCACAAACTTCCGAATTAAAGTTTCAGAGCAGCACCCTCATCCATTTTACATCCACTTCTCACGTTGCGACAGAGAGCAGCCTGCCAGGTTTACACATACAGTATGTGAGGAGGAGCATTGTGTTTTGCTCCTTCTGTTCTGTTAGACAGATAGATAATCCCGAGATATCAAGCAGTGCGCACGGGCAGACTCGTCTTCACATAAAAGACACACTCTTCTTTTTAAGATCAGGCCTGTGTGTCCAAGACTAAGAGCTGTAATGCTATAACCTCCCAGGTGAGTTATAAGGCAAAGCTGCCACCAGAAAAAATAAAGCACTGAGCTGAACTCTAGTAGTGTAGAGCAAAATGAAAGTACAGATTTACACCAACATAACCAAAACTTTGTCATATCATATGTGCGTGGAAAAAAAGGCAGATTTTATTCTGATTGTATACAGCGAGATAAAGCAGGGTAAGGATTGGGGTTATTTGTTCTGCTAAATTATTTTTTAAATATCCATAGGAGTTGAAAAATAGAGAACTAATACACATGGTGTGTCCCAAATCGCATACTTCCAGTACTCAATACTTACAATTTTGAGTATACTTAACTCAAAATGGAAAGTATGTATGGATAGCATGCGAAAATTAAGTAGGCAAAAGTACCCGGATGATGTACTTAAATAGGTCAAGATTTTAAGTATCTGACTGTGGACACTCGCCCACACTCAATTCATCAGTTAGAATAACTTTATCGGACTGTATTCAAGTGTTTTTTCAGTAATTTGTTGATCATATTGATTTGATAAAAGTATTTATTAAATATGATACAAAGGCAATAAACGGTTTAAGATGAGCTCTATGGTGTGTCCCAAATCGCATACTTCCAGTACTAAATACTTGAAACTTTGAGTATACTCAACTCAAAATGTAAAAAGTATGGATAGTATGAGAAATAGTATGGAAGTATGTGATTTGGGACAGACCTACAGTCAAAGTGCTTCTTCTACCAGGAAAAGAAAAGAAAAGCCAAGAATAGTTGAGAATAAAAAGAAACCTCGGTTTTACTCCAAGTATTTCTTTTGCTTTTTTATTGTAAAGATTATATGAAACTAAAGCTGTATCGTTCCGTTTAACGCAAAGTTTACATGCAGTCTCTTTCCAAATGAAATGAAAATGAAAATAATATCAAGAGATTAAGATATTTCCTCCTATCATGGCTCTTATAAGACACTTGAGAATGCTACCCCCCCCCCCCCCCCAAAAAAAAAAAAAAAAAAAGAAAAGAAAAGAAAAATAAAAACTCTTATGGCTCTTTTGGAAAAACCCTCTGTAAACACAACGGCGATGTAGTGCCTCAAACACAGTGCCTATAGTATCTTCTAATATCCAAACCCCTAAAATAACAACGGTAATAGTAATAAGAATTAAGACATTTTATTGTTATTGTTTTCAACAATATAACATGTTACGTTATTACATTCCTGTAAAATACTTTTCCTCTTTTTTTTCTTTTTACCTAAAACGACCTCTATCAACCTCACATTATCTGCATCACCACGGCAAAAAATGATCACCTGTTTTATTTCATTTCCCTCACGAGAACTGAAGAGAAATATGCCATTATTTCAGGAAGCGTCTCCTGTTTGAATAGGCATACGTGTAGGTAATGTCTGAAGTGCTTTTCTTGAGATTTGTTTCCAAAAACTTCCAGAAACAAGTTCAACATGGGGGTAAATGGAGGTTTTTACGCACACAAGCAGATTTCCCCCTCTTGTATAAAATGACTTTAGAGGTTGAATATGTGGCTAAATGATTTGTTATGAAGGCCGTTTGTCGCAGTGTTCAGTCCGTCTGCGTTGCACCTTTTTCTTTTTTACCATAAATGCTTGAAGCTTGTCCTCGAAAATGTATTATCCAAAAGAGATACCTTCTGTCCCCGTCTGTGCTGGTTCTTTTAAGAGCCAAGGTCCACAAGATTAGAAGACATAGGGTTCAGTATGGTGTCATGGTGCAAAGAGTGGTGATGGTGCACGGAGTCTGCGCCGCCTGGTACCGGGATGGCGCTGGGTCCCGGTGGGGGCGCGAGGCCGTGGAGGGACGGTAAACCGGAATTCGAGCCGAGGAGCAGAGCCGGGCTCGGTGACGTGTGATCTGGTGTACCCGAGGGTGTTTTATCGTCGTCAGAACTCCCCAAAAGAGATTTATTCCCGTTCATGGAGGAAGATAATGGATTGTGGCTGTTGCTGTTGGAGTTCTCGTTGTTTTCTCTGCAAAAAGACGAAAATAAAAGAGGTGAGTTTGATGAAAGTTCAGCAAAAACACTCAAAATAGATCCACATGGCAGGGTCTCAGAAATGATCAAGTTTAGCAAAGTTTAGCTGGCTATTGAAAGTTCACCACATAAAACGTACTAGACTAGCCTATATATTCAAAACATCACAACCGAGTTACTACTACAAATGATAATAATAATAAAATTAATAATAATAATAATAATAGCCTACATAACAACAAAAACTAAACAAAAATAATAATAATAATGATAAAAATAATAGCCTACATAACAACAAGAACAAAAACAAAATAATAATAATAATAATAATAATAACAATAATAATAACAATAATAATAATAAAAATAATAGCCTACATAACAACAACAATAATAACTACAATAATAATAATAATGGTAATAGCCTAAATAACAATAATAAAATAATAGTAATACGTATTCATATAAGAGAATTTTTCAGCTTTCCAAAGTGCCTCACACACACACAGACACACACACAAACCACAATTAATGTTGTATATGCTACTGTGTGTAGCCCCCTTGAAAATTAATTAAGCCCCGCCATGTTTACAGTCGCCATAACAACCCAAATGATAAAATATTAAGTCAGGTGATTTATCGACACATCAATCACGCACTCGTGCGCCAGGACATAATACCAGTAAGTGGGCTAATTGAAATAATTACAGCCTATCAGTCATTTACTACAGCAGTGCAGAGAGTTAAATGTGCGCATTAGTGAACAGAGACTGAAGACAATAAATCTGTTCAATTTCTCAGTCTGAGTTAAACAGCTGCGTTAATGGCGAATGAGTGTAACCATGGTGACCTGTAGGTAAGTCGTCTGTCAAAAGAAAGCTGTCTCTCGGTCTGGATAATTGACAGGTCTAATAATTGCTGAACGTGTTCTTGTTGCGCACGGCCTCGTTCATATGTGTGCAGTGGTGAGCTCGGGCTTCTCGCAGTGGGAAGACATGATTTACGTGCAGCTTTCAGCCCGAATTAGTGGCCAGAGGCTGAAAGAAGACACCAAACCAGAAAACACCTGACTGAAACATGTCTCCAAAATCCTCTCTGCGCGCCTGTGTCATTTCCAAACTTTGAAATGTACAAACAGCTCCGAAAGTAATGTCGACCCGGCCGATATGCAGCCTACACGGCCTGCTACGTCAATTACACTAGCGAGCAACTTCTTTACCGTGCTCTCTGACTTTATTGTATATTCCTTTACTCTCTCACATATCTAGAGGGGGGAAAGTAGACTAGTAGTTATGTCTCTGACCCTACTTATGTCAAATTCTAATGTCATGATGAGTGTAATTAAAACATAAAAGTAGGGTAAGTACAACTTTTTATACCCTTGTAATTTATCTGACAACGAGTCTTTCATTTTCTCCTTTTCAACTTTTACGCACGTCCTGCTGTATTATCTCAGACGTACAAACAGTTCTGTATGGGAGTTAAAACAAAAAACTAGACGTTCGCAAAAGTCCCTGCTCTTGTTAAATTTCCCTTAAACAGTCACAGATGTTTGTAGATAGCTGGAACTATTTTTCAAGAAGTGAAAATAAATTCAGTCATTCCAATAAATTTCCAGATGTAGGTCAGCACATCGTGGAAGTAACACTGGGTGTTTGTGTCTGTTTGAGATTTTATTGCCCACTATTTTTGTTTGAGGTCATAAACAAAAAATGCTACAATATCAACAGTATATTAGATGCTTGTATGTTTTATGAGTAGGGTAGTATTAGTGTGTCCTACCTTTCCTTTGCCTCCGCTGCCCGGTCTCGCTGCCGTCGGTTTTTGAACCAGTTGCTGACCTGCGTGGTGGTGAGTCCCGTGGCCTCGGCCAACTCTCGTTTCTCCCGCGGGGACGGGTAAGGGTTGTGGGTGTACCACTCCCGCAGGACGCTCCTGCTCTTCTCCTTGAAGCAGTAGCTTGTCTCCTCTCCGTCCCAGATCGAGCGAGGCAGGGGGAACTTTCTCCTGACCCGGTACTTTCCTACGGCGCCGAGCGGGCGGCCTCTCAGCTTCTCCGCCTCGATGTAGTGCGCTTTGAGCCACAGCTGCTGCAGCTTGGGGTGGTTGTGGGGAGAGAACTGGTGACTCTCCAGGATCTTATAGAGCTCTCGGAAGTTCCCCCGATGAAAAGCGACGACAGCTTTCGCTTTGAGGACGCTCTCATTTTTGTGGAGGTGCTCGCACGCCGGCAGGGACCAGAGGAAGCGCCCCAGCCGCTCGATGTTCCCCCCTTGTTGAAGGACTTCGCAGACACACGCCACTTGCTCCTGCGTAAACCCAAACGTCGGAAGCATGGACATGGCGACAACGTAAATCAATACAGATTATAGTGTGCCCTCACTTCCACGTTTCTCCGCTCAGTCTCACTCATTAAGTCCACGGGCGACAAAAAGGTCCAAAAAAGAGGCGAACACCTCTAACAGCCCCAGGTTAAAGGGAATATATCCAACTGCGTGTTGAGGAGCAAACTCAAGTCCGCTCAGCCATGCAAACCCAAGGCGACAAATCCGCTCTAAAGTTGTTGAGAAGGAGAGAAAGTTTCTGCTCCCTCACCGTCCTCCTCCACCTTTTCTTTGCCGTTTCAACATAACCTTCTCCCTGAGACCGGGCTCGCTGGCTCGTTTTAATAATATTATTCTAAGCTGGCAAGACAAGCGATTATATGAACTCTGATTGGTCGGTTATCTGACCCGGGGATGGTGAGGATAAGACAATAGCCTTAGTCAAATTATTTGCCATGGTTACGCTGTCACTCAAAGTAACCTGATACGCTTTGAGGTGGCTCCCTGGCAAAGTCAACTCGATTGTTCTCTTCACGCGCAGCCCGCCTACCAGCAGAAATATTGCTCAGATTTTTCTTCTAAAACATTTTTTTTCCTCCTCGTACTTTGACGGACACCTCGGGCAGCCAAAGAGCGCAGAGCTGTGGGAGTGTGGAGAAGGGAAAGGAGAGGCGCACAGGTCCCGCAGCCGGGGGAGGGATGGCGCCAGAGCACACACAGCCTGCTCGAGTCTGCCTTCATGCCTCGAGCGGGTTTACTGATCAATCAGGATCCCCCACAGCTTTACTCTTACTCTCTTTATCATTTTTGTACAAGTAAAATGACAGAAAATTGGTGGACATTTTGAAGAAAGGTTTGCAGAAATACCTGATCTGATCATGGATACTTTTACACACCAAACCATTCAGTCTGTCAGAGGATACAGGAGTGCATTCTGATCCAAAATAAAGTTAAGTCAAGATACGGGAAGTTTTCTTGTACTGTCACTGGGACTTATAATGAAAAGTTAGTTTACAGGTGATTAGAAACAGCACATTTCTGTACCCAGCTCATAAAATGTGAGCGTTTTAAGGCCTATGATACAATAAATCTGTGATAAAAATAGCAAAATAAGAAAAGTATGGAAGTCATAGAAATAGGTTTAAAAAGTCAGTGTTAGAGAGGGTTTCATCAGGGAAATTCAAATTCGCATGTTTCAAGGCTGTGCTCTTCATATTACAATCCCTCGGGGGCGTGCAGAGCGCACACGACCCATTCAGTCCTGATAGAAATATACAATTTAGAATATTCACTTTGGTGTGAGAGTGCGTTTTTAGCGTTTTTATTTATCTACAATTATTATTATTTTGTGGATTATAAAAAATGCTCCAGACTAAGATATCTTTGCGGTGATGAGGTGGATCATTTGATGCACGTGATAAAGAATATGATGAATCTGGATATCTGAATGAAGTGCGAGGCGGTGACGGCACGAGCGCCCAGAATGACAAACATTGTTAAGGTGTGCGGCTGAACTCGAAGAGCTCGTGCAGAGCTGCAGTTTTTTGGACGGGGAGCAGAGGAGGAGGAGAGGGAGGAAGCGAGGCTGCTGGGGAAGAGAGGAGAAGAAGAGGGGGAATAAAATCAGCGCACCGGTGAGACTGAACTTTCTGCTTTTATAAAAGTCGTGTGGTTGGTGATGGTAAGGATGGAAGTCAGAGATGAGACTTAATGAGATGAAATATAATGAGTCATTATTTAGGGATAAACTCAAAGGAGTCATTTAAAGAAGTATGCAATGATTAATGATTTCTTCGTGGCATTATCCCGAGCATAAAAACCCTCAGATTTTGTTATGGTGTTGTAAGGTCTGTGGTGACAGGTGTCACGAGGACAGAAGCGCACGTGTGTTATCGACTGCTGGCCCAAAGATTGACCGGTTGCTAGATTTCTATCGCCTCACCATGGGACCTCTTCATTAGAGACACCCAGGATCACATCACTGCACACACACACACACACACACACACACACACACACACACACACACACACACACACACACACACACACACACACACGACAGCTTGCAAAAAAAAGAGAAATAATAATATATATATAATAATATCACTTTCTTGTATTTTGATTTTTGGCGTTAATCTAATTTATTAAGCATATCAGCTGCGACCCCCACGTGAATAAAAAAATTGTATTAAATTAAAAACTAATCCTTGGTTCATCAAACTGTATCTAACTCACTTTTTTTCCAGTCGAATCCAATTCATCAATAATTCATTAATTATTCCCAGATATTTGCTTTAAGTCGTGGTCGTTCAGGGAAACTCTTCGTCTGTGATTATGATATTGGTTTATCAGCAGAGTTGAGTCTTGTAAGATGATCCTGATCCCCGTTTCCGTGTTGTGTTCTCTCTGTGTTTAATAAATTGAGTGGGGTTTGGCCTGAAGCACAGTTCACAGAGTATAAGGGCATTAAGCTGACTGCTGCTCATCAGGGGAGCGGGGCCCGTCTCAAATGGATAGTGAGAAAAAAGAAGAAAGCGATTTACCCTCATTTACCTCATTGGAGGAAATTTAAAGTTAACATGAAAAAAAAAAGATTTAGCAGCTTTATTAAAAAAATCTTTAAAAAAGCATAAATTATGGAAGAGAAATTACATTTATTAAAATATGACATTTCGTCTTAAATAAACAAGCCAACGAAGACATTTAGCCTACTTGGTGTGTTTTGATTTGCTGACTTCAAACAGCTCAGCAGAAAGCTCGAGCGCCTGTAGGTTGACAGACGTGACATTTTACACCGATTTTAAGACTCAGAAACTTATCAGCTCCATCCATCACACACACATAAATACGCACACACAACTAAATGCCTCGTAAGTGAGCCCAAAACACACACACACACACACACACACACACACACACACACACACACACACACACACACACACACACACACACACACACACACACACACAGCTCCCTCAGAGGTGGAAGAGGTGCTTCAGTGACTCCCTGTGTACCCACAGCTCTACAAAGAGGCGTTTATAGCGTCTCATTTTGAAGCTCACTAAAAGGCTATGCGTAAAAAAGCGCAGCAGTCAATCCAGTTTGAAACAATAAAACACTCTCTCCAGAATGGTGTTGATTACATAACCAATATTAAGACAAATCCGTGTTTATTTCATGTCTCTTTGTCTTCACTCCTGTTTTGCTGAGTCGTATAAGCCTATCCTTATCTGTCACAGTCAGAGTCTGAAAACTCAGCTCATCCAGAACTGGCTCTGTACTTAGTCACTGGGATTATTTTTGGGCGTGATGGGCGCAAATGAAACCAAAATAGGTCGTGACCCCCCTATTTGCGCTCCACATGAGTGCCATGAGGGGTTCTGCAAGTTCTTATTCTGATGAGATGACGCACTGTATGAGCATGAATTTTGGCTAACATGCATTTACAATCCCACATTGGTGTATAAAAGGTTTCTAGTTTTACTAGTAATCACTGCAGAATATAAAACCGTGCTGAGGCTGAGTTATACAAGTTTTTAAAAGTATAAAGAGGGGCTCTTTGGGAGGAAACGGTTTGAGATAAACGCTCCCCGAGGAAAGTGTCTCCCTCATCCTGTTGACATATTTCAATCAACACCTGCTCTCTCGCTCTTTGTTTCTTCTAAGCTCACCAGTTTCAACACTTGTTCAACTAGAAAGCCACTGATAAGAAGGTTTAATGAGCAGGATGGATGGGTTTTCTACTGCAAAAAAGAGGAGATGCATCAGAGCATATTCAACTACAAAATAAAAGAACAATACGAAGCATCTTCTCTGAATTTGGCTGAAGGAAGTGTGTTGTGTGAGTCGTGGCAGGTCAGATAGGACCTGTGCTGGGCCCTTGACAGTGTTTGTAAACTGCTTGTTTCCATGGATCAGTTTGATCAGAGGGAGACAGTCGCTGTTACAGCCGCTGATGAATGAAGATCACATTTCTCCTAATAGCCACCCCCTCCTATTTTCACAACCTCCCACTGATCTCCAGCAAGACCTGCACTAATTGAGCTGATTATTGCAAGATGTGTGTTTTGGTGTGTGCTGTACTGTGTGTTCAGGTTGGAGGGGGGACGTGGCTTTTTATTTTGTGAGACATCTTCTACACACAGTGACTTGAGACAGGCACAACAAGGGGGTTGATGAGTAACAGTCGTTCAGACAGACATGCAAAAAAATTATTAAAGCCAGAACCCGTGTGTCTATACTGGTTAGAGGGATGTGAATGAGGAGCCTATCAAATAATTGGTTGTTTACATCTATCTTGTTACCCCAGAGGCCGGGGCTGTCCTGCAGAGCGAGGAGGAGATTTCAATAAACCACACAGGCAAGCAGCAGGGAGGGAGGGGCACAGGAGAGAGTGTGTGTGTGCGTCTGTGTGTGTGTGTGTGTGTGTGTGTGTGTGTGTGTGTGTGTGTGTGTGTGTGTGTGTGTGTGTATCTGTGTGAAAGTGGTGGAGGTCTTGTCTTAATTTACAGAGGGCTCTGACCGGACGGCATGTTTGTCAGACTGAGTGGTTTATATTTCAGGTTAACTCTAGAATCTGAAGGCCTGCAGAAAACACTATAATTTCACAGGCACTTAAAATTGTCTGAAAAGCATCACTTTCAGGACGTAGAAATCACACCAAGATAGAGTGAAGAAATTCAGACAGAAAATACAATTTAAGTCTTTGCCTCTCATAAGTCAGCTGTAATTATAATGCGTACAGTGTCAAACTAAATCTTTTTCTCAAAACTAAACTGTATTATAATCATCTAATATCAGGAATGCCATTTCAGTGCACAGAGAACCTGCTTGAGATTTTTAGCTATCCTTTCCTTTAAAGTGAATCAAAGCATCCAACTTGAAAAAACAGCTTGAGAAACACAAGACAACACCTTAACTCTATTTAAATAACCCTCTACAAGCTGGGTAGATATTTTGCAACAGGACTTGGCGAGACAAAATAAAAGTACAAATGTAAGCTTGATATTCACAAAGCAGCCGTAAAAAGACTTGATTGATGATATCTCAAAATCTGTTAAGATAATCAAAATGTAATCCACTGTGCCAAACTATGAACTGACGTCAATCTGCAATAGTAGTAACCTTGTTCTTAGCTAATAAAAAAAATTGGCTAAAGTCAGTTTTGGTGCACTGGTCTTCCAACAAATATGAAATCAGAGTATTCTGGATTACAAATTAAAAGCCTTGAAATCAAGCATAATGTTTGCACTCATGCTCTTACATCTAATACCCAGAAGCAAAAAAGCTGCACTCAGCATAAATACTTTGAAACATACTTGCACCTAAATTACAGCTGGCTTGAGTACCAGTGCAAACAGCAACAAGTGTCTGCTTTTCTGCAAGGCTGGTGATTGGAGCTCAGGAGGAGCTGTGTGTGTTTTAGAGTGTGAAAGTGAGAGAGAAAGAGGGAGAGGGGGCGAGAGTAAGCTGACTGCTGCTGCTGCTGCTGCTGAGGTTAATTTATTCGATCAATCACTCCATTTGATTCCTGTTTATTTTCAGGAGTCGCACGGTCATTTCAGCCGCACACTGAGCCCTTTATCCTCTGCCAAGGCGTTTCCCCCTCACATCACTAAGAGCGTATAGCATGCATGCGTCTACAATTTGGAGGGGAGAAGAGTTCCAGCACCCTCAGACATTTCACGGTTGCTAATCTTTATGGTGAAATCTCCCCAGAGCTGTATCCCTTCAAACATGCAGGTATATGTCAGCTTCGCACATATGCTGATTTATGTAAGCCCTGAAATTATTTAGGCTATCGTTTATAATTTAGCAAATACAGCACAGGGGGAAAGTTTGTAGCCTTAGATACTGTATGTTTTTTTTCTGATAGAATAAATCTGCAGAAATATGTTTAGTCTGAGCTGTGCATTTCAAAGCCACATGGTGTAATAGCTGATTTTGTTTATAACACTAGAGCTTTTAATGTATATATATATTTTGTTTATCTGACCCAATATATAGGGTCCGATAAACCCCAACCTGTTCTGTTTCAAAGTAGAGACGAGGAACAAATAATAGGATCATAATAACTTTTTTCTGTTGGTCTTGTTAGATTTGTGAGAGCAAATAAATACCTGTTTGGCCAGAAACAAGAGGGAGAAGTTTTAGCTCCAACCCCCAAACAAATAAAAAGAGGACTGCGCTACAGTGCAGCAAATGTTATTATACCATGGATGAAGCCAATACTTGGAGCAAGACTTATTTTGGAAACTTAAATAAAGAGGGAAGCATTAAGACAAAATACAACATGTCAAAACACTAACACAGAGCTTTTACAGTATTTTCCTGGTCACATTATTAACTCTTGGAAAACATGGCTAAGATGGTCAGATTTTATTCCTCCTGAAGAACATGTGTGAATTCTAGGTCCAACCAGGGGACCCCAGGATCCTGTGTGAACCATATAGATCTCATAATAAAGTATTTCTTTACACCCATTCAGGGTTTTCTACTTCAAGCCAAAGTCTGCAAAATTGCTTAAAGTCTCTCCCTTATGCAACATTCTTCCTTTTTACAGTGCTGGAACTCATATGTCAGGAAAGAATTTATTAAAAGTGACCCACAGTAATTAGCAATGTGCTAATGCTTGAATTTGTATCCAGTCCTGTATGCAGGCTTTTTACAACACTTGGTGGTTTGACTTGAAACACAGGCCTGACCCTGTGTCAGCAGCCATATGGCCAGTAAATAGTTCCATGATAGAGTCAGAGTTGGTAGTGATACTGTATCAGAGAAGGACATCTTAATATACATTACATTGCACCGCTTTTTGAATGAGTGATAGGTGCTTTGTTATGTGTGTTCTGATGCGCTTGTTTGAAGAGTTTTACTTGTAATTATCTCTGGTGTGTAAGGAAGCTTAGACAGCAAAACTTGCTACTCTACTTTTTACCACACACATGCACCTAATACGATCAGGACTGAGAAGAGGTCCCACATCCAGTGTGACAAGGGCTGCAGTCTCCATAATTTAGAAACCTCTCAGCCAACTACACTTAACTGCACAGAAACTATAATTTTGAGCACTTTAGATTTCAGGGGGCACTGCTACAACATGACATCGGTATTGGTTATTTTGATCATTTGAGATGACAGAAAACTTTCTCATTCTAAACGTTTGATTGCCTTTGGTGTGTTAGCATGCTTACATCTAAAGCACAATAAATAGCAGAGTCTTGTGAGAAACTGGTCATTTTTGCAGGTAATAAGAAATCAAAAAGAACACCCAAAAAATAAAAAAAATAAAAATTAAAAAAGTTAACCTAATTGTAGCCCAGACTGTAAAATGAGCTTATCACTGACAGACAGACTGAATGGTTGCTAAGACATGTCACCCAAAACCGCAGATTTAATAACTATGGTGAAACTGGTTTATACTCTTGTGAGGAACTTTCTGTTCCTGGTGATTTTGGTGTTCCCTGAGGATAAAAACAGCACCTATTATCGTTTTGATGATTCAGTTTTGTGTATCCCTGATTTCTGTTGTTTAGCAAAAACAAAAACATCAAAAGTCTTTGTTGTGGTCAATATAAAAAGGGAAAAAAAAAGCCCTTGACAGCAAGGCATTAATCACTCTGTATGACATCTAATCCTGGCAGAGGTTAAAGACAGAAATCGTCTGTACGCTAATGGTTTTAGTTGCTTTTGTAGTTCATAAAGAGACATCAACATTAAAGTAAGTATTTTGGCAATCATTTTGAATGTTGTTGGTACTTTGCAGTCTAAACCGTACAGGATGAGTGACTGAAAGATCAACATTGCCACTGCTAGAGCCATTCTGTTAGCTTTGCCGTTCGCAAATGAAAAAAAAGAAAACCCCTTCCACAGAGAGACAGATTCTCTCTTGCAGCTCATAACTTATTCTAAAGAGCACAAATCACTTAAACCAGAGACTGATTTATGCTGTCATCACAGCCCAGACCACCACAAAAAAGGAGGGTATCCCCTCCACATTTGTTGCTGTGTCTGTCTGTCTCTACATTACAGTTCTCGCTTTAATCTTTTCACAGCTTTTTGACATGTAATTCTCACTCAAACTCTGCAAAATCCATTTCAACTGAAGTCTCCAAGAAATCCCATTAACACTGTGCTTCCTTTCATTGTCTAAATGACTTCTAACTCATTAAACCAAACCATCCATCAAACTTCTTGCTGTAATTTGTTCACCATTTGGCATTGGATTACATATTGTGAAGATGAAGGCAAGTGTTTGCTTTGTAAATAGAAGTGTGTCCCGGCATATCACTCATTTGTTTTTATATGGAAGAATTGAATTTCATGATTGCTTTTTAATTTCCCCTGTAGGGTATATTAAATGGCTGCAAACCTCTGAAAGCTTTACGCAGGAAGCTAACAATTAGAGTCAATTTGAACACATGCTAACCACAGCTATGAGAGAGAATAGATGTGGCTGAGGCTGAAGAAATATCTAACACATTGTTGCACCTAGTACTTAGCAACTTTTAAAAGTTTCCCACTTGAAATAAAGTTTTATAGTGCTTGTTACCATCACTTTAGGGTCAGGAAGATTGACTTTACTGATTTTCACAAAGAAAACTTACTTGCATTTTCTAATGTATAATGTAGAATGAGTGAAGAAACTGCTTGTTTATATGATAAGCATTAACGTCTGTGAGGAACTCTGTTGATTTTGGCGCCCCCTGTGGACAAAGCAGTTTATCACTGTTCCCCATTAAATTATGTATAATCTAATAAACTTTATTTGCATAGCACCTTTCTAGAATGGTTGTCAGAATTTAAAAAGGGTGAGACAACAAAACTAACAACAAAAAAGCAAGTGTAAACAAATGGGGTTTCCAACGCTTTTTGAAGGTATCCACAGTGCCCACAGTTCTTAGTCCTCGAGGAAGAGAGTTCCAAAGTTTTGGAGCAAAAAACTCAAATGCACAGTCTCTTTTAGTTTGTAATCTGGTCCGGGGGACAACCAGCAAACCCAATGACTGTGCCATCCATTCATGCATCCAAGGAAGTCCACACAGACTTCACTTGCCCAACAACACTTCCAGCTCCTCCTACTGAATTCCAAGGTGTTCCCAGGCCCTTCAGCAAGCACCGGGTCTACCCCAGGGCCTTGTCCCAGTTGAATGCGCCTGAAACACCTCTGAATGGGGAGTCCAGTATGCATCGTTATCTAATGCCTCAACCGCCTCCTTTTGATGCCAAGGAGCAGCAACTCTACTCTTGAGGTCCAAGCTTCTGACTCTATCTTAGTCCAACCACCCTTTGAAGGACAATCATTTAAGCCACTCGTATCTGTGACATGATCTTATGGAGCAAAACCCACAGCTCATGATCATAGGGTCAGGGTTGGAATGCAGACTAAATAGTAAATCAAAAGCCTTGCCTTCCATCTCATCTTCCTCTTCACTGTGACAGTCTGGCACAATGTCTTGCACAGTCGAATATATGATCAGTTTTACCCTCATGAAAGCAACACCCAAAGAGGTTTGAGCTCTCTCACTTCAGGCAAAGACTTGCTGCCCATCTGGAGAAAGCAGTCCACCGTTTTCAGGTAGAGAACCATGGCCTAGAGCTGCTGACTTTCATCCCAGTCACTTTGCACTTGGTTGTAAACCACCCCAAAGCCTGCTGGAGGTCCCAGCCTAAAGATGCCAACAGAACCATATCATCTGCATAAGTGAGGAGATGGAATTCCAAGGCTCCCAAACAAGAAACCTGTAGTGTTTTTTGAGCTGCAAGTCATGTGAAGATCCACTGTGGGTGTCCCAGGCTGACATAATGCAGGGTCAACATTAGTATAACAGCTTCCATATCCTTTCATATCCAAAAACATCTCTCCATTTTCTCATGCAGGGAATAAGGGAATTATTTGGCCAGCAGCAAACACCTAATCATTCTGACAAAGAACTACACAGACCAAAACAACAACAATATAAAACAAAAACCATAAGGCCACAACTATCATCAGGTTTTGGGGATCACAATTTAAGAGATAATCAACCTTTGCATGGTTGTGTTTCTTCGAATGGCCAGAGAGCTACAAGGCAAGGACAATTCCTGACACATGCATGCACAAGTATTTCTCATGCTGCTATAAAATAAAGCCCTGTAAAGTGGTGCCCCCCTGGCGACTGCAAGAAGACATTTGTGTTTTGCTTCCTTTAGCGAGAGTGTTTGACCTCCTCTGAGAGGCCTCTATGGACCACCAAGAGAAAGTCAAAGCCAAGCTGCTGCTGATGATGATATACTGTACAGTCTCAGCTATGACAGAGCCAGTTTTCTGTACCCGCTCTGGAGGTCATCTCTAGTAAAGACATGCCTCTTGGCATGCAGGCGGATGATGAGCCTTCACACAAGCAGAAAGAGGGGATTACTGTCAATTGCTCCCAAATTGCAATAATACCCGCTGCCGGGCCACCCACACATGTGCTGAGAGACAAGTGATAAATTGCTGCATGTGTCCATTCCACAGTGGCAACTCCTGACTCCAGCACACTGCCCACAAGCATCTCCATTCTTGTAGCGTGTCTGACATGTGGAAACAAGTGGTGGGATTTCTCTGTTAGAAACACTATAAATCAAAAATGATTACTTGGGTGCAGAGGTTCAAAATTGCAAGCTCATGTGAAAGCCTAACATTTTAATCGGGAACTTTTTCTTAATATCATTTATTTATCACAAATGATTAGTTTTGAAACATTTCTTTTTTCCCTAAGAGACTAAGTTATATCTATTACACATGGAGTGAGAGGTCAGAGTGATTTAATCAGTGCTCGGTCAATTAACAGAAAGCTTTATCTGATCTGACGTTAGGCATGGAAGAAAGGTGGTTGCTTTCATAAGTAGTTTTAATGCTTGTGAATGTTGGTTTTTGAAAGTGCACCTTTTGGAAACGTGCACAGATTTCACTGGCAAAGAACAACTGGTTTGCTCAACTGGTGCATTCACTTAGCCTTAATGAAGTTTAATTCCCGAATCTTAAATCGTATGCATTCCCCAAATCAATTATTTTCTTACATCTATATCTTGAATGCATTTAAGTGACTTTTCTAGAGAGACACACGAAAATCTAAATGGTAACGACACCAGTTTGGCTTAGTGGTTAATGCTTGTGCCACATATAGAGGCTGTAGAGGTCATAGGTTTGACTCCTGGCCTCCACCCTATGCTCTATGTATGTCCCCACTCTATACTTCCCATTAAGAAAACTGCTTTAGTGGCTTACATTTGTTAACAGGCTTAACATTAAATATATAATATATCTTTCTTTAAACCAACATGTTTTGAAGAGGCAGAGAAAAATGCTGATATGAGACATTATTAAACTGTTCAAATTGTAATTAAAAATGGTGCAAAAGGTCTCACTTTAATCATTCAAAACACTCTTTGTCTGATATAGTACTGACATGAACTGTTTGCATGTTAATAAGTGGTAATATGCTTAAGTTTAATGGGTACAAAAAGATTTAACAGGAAAAAGTTAAGTGTTGTCGTAGACACAGTCATCAGTGTCTCAACAATTACCATAAAATCAAATTTGATTTTACAATTCATCTTGTTTTTGCACAGTCTTAAAAGATGGTTTAAATTCAAAAAGTGTACTTGTGGGCTCAACAAGATTACTGCAAAACTATTTTTCAACTATCAAAGGCATCAACTGAACAACATGTCAGAACCACCTCACTCAGACATTTCCTCGCCTCTCAAAATGAGTAAAACATCATATTTTGAAAATAAACCTTAAGTGTGTTCTCATGTAGGGATACATGGCAATCAGTCCTGATTGTATCATTCCTCTGCAAAAGACTGGAGCAGATGGCTAATCCAGTCTCAGTATCTAATCAGAGCTGTCGTTCTAATAGCAGTGTAATTTCATAAAAGGCCTTTTGTCTACGAATATTCAGGAGCAGCATGGGGGAGATCGCAGATATTCATCATCAGCAGACTGGAAACAGAGTCTAATAAATGACACATTTGCTCCCTGCCTGTCTGTAACAGAGGAATGGCAAAATGCAGTGACTGTAGTACAGTGTGTGTGTGTGCGACTGGAGTGTGTGGGTGGACAGCAGCTGCAGAGCTTTGCAATAGCATTAGTGAATATGTATGTGTATGTTTGTCCATGCAATTAGTGTATATGTGTGAGAAAGAGTCTGTTTGTGTTGTATTTTCAGAAATGAAAGTTCAGTCAGGCTAATAGATGAGGAATTAATGTCGACTTTACACCTTCAGGTCAGGGCACTAAAAAGCCAATAAGTGGTAATGATGCAGCTGTTGGCTCTTAAGTTGTGTGTGTGTACGTGTGTGCGTGTGCAGTTTTACAACTGTTGTTTTTCCTACATGGTTTATTTGCTCCTTCGCAGTCTTGATTATGAAAGTCTGAGATGCTTCCAGAAGAAAAAAAAATGAGCGAATCAAAGAGGAACGACGCTACAAAATCAGACGTGGCAGTAAAATCCAGCCATGTGTCTGTGTGTGCAGCACATGGACACACCATCCTGTGAAGAGACATATTATTTACAGCACAGCGGGAAGTCACAGCCCAGCTCAGACAGACAAAAAATATAGAGATGCATGAGGGCAGGATCTTCTTTTTAGCCAACTTAATGCTCAGAGCCGTTTGTCATGTTGGATCTCTGCTCGCTGTTTCCTGAAAAACTGCATGTAGTCTGGCGTTGTGCTTCTGCTATTGGAAGGAGGTCAGGAAGTAACTATCACACACACACAGTGAATCTTTCTCTGACCTCAGGTAGATGCTACACATATACAAATATAGTAGCAGGCCCCATGCAACTTTGTAAGAAGTTGACCGAGAGGGCAGACGGAGTTGTATTTACATCAGTCGGTGTAATTTTATCAATAAAAGCCAAGAGGACAGGAGCCCGCCATAACTCAGGACAGGCAGAGAGCACCCCAGCTGTTTAGAGTTCATCTTCCTCTGAAGCCAAGGGGTGGACAAAGAGAGAAGTTAGAGTGGGGACAAAGATCCACAGGGAGGAAGGGAAAGGAGAAGAAAAGAGGAGGACAAAGACAAAAGAAGTGGGAAGTTGGTGATGCTGATTCAAGACAGCTTCTTTACCAGAGTGGTTTATAGTTTCTGGATATACAACCATTAAGGGAAGATCTTTTTTTAAATGGTTAGGTCCCACCACATTATGTCATCTTGCTAACTTTTACTGAGAGAAGTCTATAAAATCCACAAGTATATCATCCGTACAGAAATTGTGGTGCGCACTTTTCCTGCTCTTCCTTTCGCTGTGAAAACCACAACATGATGTAAAACCCAGATGACATTAAGTCCTCAATACTATCAGCAGCTTTCACATCAAACTGAGGAATGTCGTAAAAGCAACTTTATTCTGTATTCACTGTGTTTACATCACTTACAATCCCTTAAAACTTTTCCCATATTCTTGTTGTATCTGTGTTTTTTGATGTGCTGCTGCTCTTTGCCATGTGTTATGTGTCTAATAATTTGGTTTGTCTGTAAAGTTTTATGTTTTGTTTTAATTGCAACCTGCTGAGATGCTGCAAATGTTTATGCCCATAATACCCAACTATACCTGCCTTTTGATCCCAGTGACTTTAAACACTTTAATATTTGAACGACTGCATCTGAGACATAAAATGCTAAATGTCAACTTTATCTCTTAAAAAACTGCAGTGATGATTGTTGGCTCTGGTTCAGCAGGAATGGCTCTCTGTCATGGCATAAAAATCTTGTCAAGAACCTCATTCTGAATCAGCACATCAACCTAGCCTTGTTTTATGCAGCTGAAGAGTCATTTTTATCCCTTTATCTCCTCTTATTTGGACTACTGCAACTCTTTGTATACATGTTTTAACCACCGAGTTTGTGCGAGATACAGCTCATTCAAAATGCAGCAGCCCAACTTCTAACTTAACCTTGAAAGAGAGACCATATCTATCCTCTTTAAGCTTTTCTTCACCGGCTCCTGATAAATTTTAGAATTGATTTTAGGATTCATAAACTCACAAAAGCACACTCTGGTCTTGCACTGGAGCACAGTTGTAATCTCCTCACTCAATACATGCCTGGTAAAAACCTGAGGTCCTGAGCCAAGGCTCTGCTCGCCATTCAGCAATTGAGGCTGAAGACGAAAAGGGACCAGGTCTTTTCTGTTCGAGCCCTGCACCCTCTGGAACATCCTCTCTGAGGAGATCAGACAAACAACATCTTCATCATCTTTGGATCTCTTTTCAAAACACAGTATGATGGATGGATTTTTACAGGAGTGTGTTTGAATCCTCTAGATGCTGCTTTTATTCAAATTTCAGGTAGAATCACAGGCAGGATCTTGTCTCGCTTATCTTGTGATCATTGGAATTTTGTTTTACTTTTTCTGGGTTTTGCTTCTCCTGACTTTTTTTTAATATTAACTTTTAGTTTCAGTCTTTTAAACATTCAAATACTTATTTTCTTTCTTTGGTGGTCCTAATCCTTTTGTTTTATTTCCTTCTCATTTCTTTCAATGTGGCTCTTATGTTAACTTTATACAGTTTATTTTATTTTCATCAGTTAAGTCAGTTTATAAATAGTTACAAAATAAAGCTCTATTATTTTTATCATGTGATTATTATTATTAGTATTATTATTATTTAGAAAACCAAGCTACTCGAGTGCAGCACATTAAACAGTAACTGTTATGTTATTGAAAAAATAAATAGAAAAATGAGAATTATTATTAAAATTAATAAAACAAAAGTTTAAAAAGAGACTTGCAGATTTATTTACAATAACTCTGTTGATCCATGAACTGGTCAGACTTGGGTCCTACTGTCATTGATGCAATTCTGATATCATTAGTGTATAATGGGATCAATTTATGTTGAACTGTTTTTTTTAAGTATTAAGATTTTTTCCTGGTTTGTTGTTGTTGTTCTGTTCCAAATAATTCAACCAGGTTTGATTGTGCTATAGTGTGCATTATTTGGACACTGTTTCTACATTAGATTTCTGCTTAATAACCCAGCTTAACGTCCAACAGAAAACCAAATTCTCTCCGATGGTAACCCGGATGGTTCTGTGAGTCATGGAGTGCATTTGGTTGATGAATTCAATCTGAACCAATAGATGTTTGACTTTCTTTCATGCCAGTAATCAGTTTTTTTTTTCTTAAAAATTAGGTGTCAGGTCTCATTTTGGAGCCTTGCTCATCAAATCCTTCATCACCGGCCCACTCAGTTCCCCTGCAGACACTGGCTGACCTCATCAAGTGACCTCACCAATCAAAGATCAAAGTGGTCGGGTTTCTGGCTGCTCAGGTTAATCAGAGGACCACCCCGAAGAGCCAATCAGGTAACATCTTACTCGACTTAAAGGAATTAGGCTGCATTTGACCCAAAACTCTGTACATTTGGGGCTTTTCTTTTTTGTGTGGTGTGTGCATGTCCAGAATTTCATTTTATTCGTTGTTAGTCATTTGTTTAATTTGGGCCTCCAGGGATTTGGGTGAATGTGCACAAATTAATAGTGAGTGAGTCAGCTGAAGGAAAGGAAATGATTAACTCAGGTCTTATTTTGAAACTTCATCTATTGTCCATGCTGTTTACTTTAAGTATTTATATGAGTAGTATTTAAATATAAACCCAGTGTTTGAAATTCCACTTCAAGAACAAATCCGGTCAGGTTCTGATCTGAGCGGTGTTTGTGGATAGAGTGTGCATGTGTCCTTACATTTATGTGCATGTGTGTGTGTGTGTTGCTCTTGTATTGCTGGCCCCTTTTGAGGGGAAGTGACATGAGATACTTAAAGACCAAAATTGCCTCACTTAGCCGAACAAACTTGCACTCCTGGCACACACACACATTCACACTTGTGCACATACATGCATGTCTCTCGCTCTCTAATAGCCAATAAAGTCAGGATGTTCATTCCTCCTCTCAGGCTCACAAAAACCAAACGGCAAAATTATTGAGAGTAAACGGATTCCACTGTAGCTCTGCACTAATGGCCACACACGCACCCACATGTAGACACAAATATACACACACAGAGAGACACACACACACAGGGTCAGTGAAGGCTGAAGTAGATAGAATGTACATAATAACTCTAACATGGCTTTTATAAGCCTTCAGCTCGTCTGAAAGGACAGCGGCTGGGAGAGAACGCAGGCCTGTATATAAAAATACTGCAGAGAGACTTTGAAGTTTTTTCTGCTCTATCTTTGCTCCGAGTCCTTGCACATAAAGATGTTCACATAAACAGAAACATTACTGGTGAATTAAAACATGCAGGTGGGTTCTAGTTCTGAGACAAAATTACTGCCAAAAGGTCAAACACACAGGACAGCTCTGATTCTTGGAGACAATCATCACTTCAAACTTTTTGATCTCAAATTGTCCTCGTAGATGAAATCCTCAAGTCTTTTAGAAACCCAACAAAAGTCAAAGTGTTGTTAGATAGAGTTTTTGTTTGCAACAGAGGATGGTTCAAGGTATCCTTTGCACTAAAATACTCCACTCTGCACATAAATATATAATATAAAATAGAGTCATGGGGTTTTGTTGCAGAGAAACAGACACTGCTTCCAAAAAGTTTACAGTTCATTTCCTCCCTTGTCTTAATACTCCCATTTGACCCATTTACAAATTATTGTCCCATCTCACATGGTAAATTTACTTCCCCTCCGAAGGACAATTTTTCCTCTAATCCCTCTACAAATTTTAAGATTTCTGTCATTTTATAGGGATGGATTAGAGGGGGATGTAGGCCACGAACAGTGCTAGTGTGTGTGTGTGTGTAAGAGTGGGGAATCCATCCCCCCAATACTTCTAATGGTTTCTTTAGAGACCATATGTCCTTTGCGTCAGCACAGCAGCAGTACAACTTCTTCAGTTACAGTCAGGCTGGGTGTGAAAGACAGACATGTTGTATAATAGAGGGTAGAAGGTGGAAGGTGGAGGGCAGTAAGGTGTGCAAATGTGTGTGTGTTTGTGTGTAGGTGTGTGTGTGTGGAGCAGAGGGGGAGCTGAAGAGTGTTTTTGAAGAAGCAGATCTCTCCATATTGCCTTACCATCAATAAATCTAGGAGCTTGCTATAGTGCTGACATAAATTAGCCTGCAACCCCAACCCACCTAATTCACAACCCTAACCTTTCCTTTACTGCACACACACTCTCTCTCACACACACACAAAGACACACATATAGTAAAACACTACCTTTCTACCCCACAGTCTCATGTTGAACCTAAACATCAATGAGGGCTCTGCTCCTCTCTTCACTATTACACACATGCATCCATGCACACTTCGCACACTCACACACACACATAGTTTGGGGTAATTAGCGTTCTTCCTCGGTGGTGAGTGTGTTTCCTCCTCAGGGTCACTGATAGCAAAACGCCTGTTAAACTTTATATTCCCTGATGGGGCGGAAAAGAGCGAAACAGAAGGAGTGTACACTCTCATTAACACACGACCTGTGTTTATGTGTGTGTACACCTGGAGTAGAGCATGTGTGTGGCGTTTTCATGCTTGGGCAGTGTCTTAAAAAGGTGAAAGGATACTCTTGTTTAGACACAGCTTTAAAATTGAAAACTAGAGAACTGTATGTTAGGATGAGGATGGACGATGTAGATTTTCACACCTCACGTATAGTTCCTTTAGACAACTTTATACATCATCAAAATAAAATGAAGACTAGAATACATTTTTCCTCTGTGATCTTGAATTAAAAGTGAATTTCCATTTCTGCTACAAAACTTTGATCACATTATGTGACCCATAACAGAAACATTGTTTCTGAACAAACTAATGCTTGAGAGATACTAATGCTTGTTTAAAAGACATAATTTTTGAAAAAAATATTGTCCACTTTGAGGCTACAAAGATTGTTTGGCTGCTTTGTTTTGTATGACTGGAAAGAATAATTGGAATGGAAAGGTTTTGGAAAAATGAATCAGACCAAAGTTATTTTTACATAGCATCCTTGGCTTTCGAAATGTGCATGATTGATCGTGATTTTTCTGAGGTGAGGTTTCTGGGTAAACAAAAGACTCATGACTACTTCAACAAAGACAAGTAATTATTATGTGAGACCATGGCTCCCACTGAGCATTTTTTGGTCTAAAAGACGTCTAAATGTAGCCTAGGCGACTGGTCTAAAATCAGGCTACTGAGTCTATGAATGAAGGTTTTTTAGACATCTAAATTTGACCAAGTTTAGACCAAGTTGAAATCGAGGCTATATCTATACTACACTGAATGTTGCTCAACAGCTATCATAATAATTTATAATGTGTATGAAGAGAGGGAAGGAAGGGCTTGAGAATATTTTTTCGACCATAGGAGGACTCCCAAGAAAGTTTGTGAACCACTAATTTAAGTAATATTATGTGTTTAGTGGGTGCATATGATTGAGTTGAGACAGTACAAAATAGTGTTAAATAATCCTGCAGTGTTAGACAACATTTAAACTGCTGTTATCTATTTATCCAATGCAATAACCAGCCGATTTACATCATGCACAAGATAAATAAGCATGTCTGATACCTAAAAAGACCAAAGCTGTAAAAAGTGAGAGGAAATACCAAACACATCAATGATGAAATTGATTAATCTGCCACATCCATTCACACTGTTCACTCTCTGTGTCATCACTTTTCCTGTTTATAAAAAGTGAGATTTTGATGGACTCAGCAGAAAAAGCAGCTCTGAGGCACTCTCAGGCTCCGAGGACGTTTGAAAACAGCCTCACTTTGGGTGAATTAAAGAGATTCTGTAGATAGCTGTGAAAGCTTATCCTGTGCACCTCAGCAGAATGTAAAGCCCTTTTTCTTATGTGATCATTTGAGGTAATTGAATAAATTCCCAGAGCTCTGTGCGGAATTAGAAGAAGCGAGACTTTGGTCAGAGGAGAGCTTTTAAGAAACCCAGGAACACACATCAGAGAGCCAGCGGTCGATGCTAATGTAATGAACGTTTACATTTACCTGCCTCTCACCTTTCCTTTTGGTGTATATCTGCAAGCCTAACCGCTCTCGTTCAGTTTGTTTTCATAAATATACTCTATCTCTTTTTTCCCCCATCTCTGGCCTACCTTCAGCGTGAAGCATTTGGTGTTTCAGAGAGGGAGCTGTGTGTGGAGGGGAAGGGGGGTTGTGAAGCCTGTGCACGATGCCAGAACTCGCACTTCTGGTTGGAAAAAAGGGGTCTGAGTTTTTCGTCAGACGTGCGGCGCAGACAGACACGGTGAAGGAAAGGCTTTTTGAAAGCAGGGGCCAAGAGCAACAGAAAACACTCCCTCTTGACCGTGTGGTCAAAAATGGGTGTAGAGGGAGAGGCGGCATCTGGCTGCCCGCCTGGCGAGAGAAGGGGGAGCAAATGTACCCGCTTCATGATGTGCCTCCTCTGCTGCCAGATGCAGGGTAAGGGTTTAAGGAAGAGAACAGGTAGAGCTGAGAAGGTAAGACAGGCTGGCATAGAAACAGCATCAGAGAGTGAGACAGGCAGACAGGCAGACGGAATGAGGTATAAAAGCGCCATGGAGGAGGATACTGAGAAGAGCAGAGGCGTATCATGAACAAGGTCAGAAAGACACGGCTAGGAAGAACAGGAAATGATACAGGATATATCCTCTCATTCTCTCTCTCTCAGCCTGTGCTGTAAGTGACAGCGCTGCAGAGGGAAGTTGACATTGCTGAAGTATGAATTTCACCCGTTTGTGTTTTGTGGAAAACACAGAATCGAGGCTGTCGGACTGGATCAGGCGGCTGCACCCTTGACCCCTGGTTGCCCCCTCCGAAGCAGACGGCAGGATTTTATTGGCCAGTCAGGTTCAATTTATTAAACACTACGCAACTCTATTCTCAGCTTTTGAGTTAAGCTTTCCAAATGTGGTTGTGATATGCATTTGGACATGGATATAAAAAGGTATTTCAGCCTTTTCGGTGATAGATTCACGCTGTTTTCCTCACAGTGTCACAGCTAAACTAGCGTGTATGCTAACCTATAAAACAGATGCACGCACCAAACAGTGGACGTCTTTAAAACAATACTCCTTCAGCTTTTTTTTTAAATACATGTTTTGGCCACCTGTATTTTTTTCAGTTCAAAATGAAAGCAACATGTTGTACGAGAGACAAATTGACTCGGGGCGGATTCTTTAGACGTAAAGATTCTTTGGAAAGAAAACGAGAATGTTTGTCTCAAACAAATACAAACAGATGCACCAATCAGAATGCACTCATCTAACAACCACTGATGTTTTTTCTGAAGTGAAATGAAAGGAAATATTCTACTTATTCAGACTGACTTGGGAAAGAAAACCTGAGTCTCAATCGGAAATACAAACAAAATGCATGTAGCACGCAAGTTAACATACGGGAATACACAAATATATTTGCACACGTCTGCACGCACACACACACACTCGCGCGCATGCAGAACAGCTGGTAACTGGATATCCTCGGCGTTGGACAAGTTGGGTAAAGTGAGACCTTCCTGTAATCAAAAGAAACAGCGTTCTACAATAAAGGTTGTTTTGAAACGGTCTGTACCCTGGAGGATGGATCCTTCTACAGGAATGAGGAAGAGAAAACAGACACATAGAAAGAAAAGAAAAGACAGTATAAGAGAGCAGCAGAGAGGTGGTGAACTGAGCAATCTGAACAACATTATGTTGTGCAGCCCTGAGATCTCTTTTCTATTCTCTCTTTATCTTCTTCTCTTTTGTCTTCTCCTCTTTTCTCCTGACTTTGCAGGTCGTAGTGTGTTTGTGGGTCTCTTGGGTGACATCCATCACTTGAATGGATGGAGGCTCTGTAACAGCAGCGCTATAGTGAAAGCAAGGCTGGGCGTATTCCCTTTCCAAAATCTACAAAAGAGCACCGGTCTGGAATCAATCTGCTATCACACTACTGGACTGAAAACACACACAAACACACACATTTTCATCTTTAGCCCTGGTGCGACTGTGCTGTGCTATTTTTCATCCCTGTTAGTTTATGTGTTGTAATGTTGGATCAGGTCTGGGATCTGCTTCTCCGCTACATCTCTGGCTTCACCTGCTGCTGAAGCTCTTTACCAGAGCTCTGGGAGTTAACGGCTGCCATAAATAGTCGGAGGAGTGTGTGCAGCGGCCTGCAGGGCAGCGTGGGGCAAAGATATATCTGACAGGAAAAAGAAAATCTCTGCTCCATGCTACCTGCAGTAAAAAGCCACCTTCAGGTATGTGAGGCTGCAGATCTGATGCAAGTTGATTTTGCAAAATAAAGAAATGAATAAAGAGAAAGTATGTGAGGTGTCTTCGGCACACTTAATTTGATTTGTAAGCTACTGTCTGGAAAACTGATTGCACATGGACAGAGCATTTACAGCATGACATAAATAAAGTCAGTTTAGAGCGCAAGAGGATCAAAATTTGTTTTTAATACATGATGCCAAAGAATTTGATTTCGGCAGTTTGACCTGATATGATACGTCTCACCAGACAATGATGGGGTTCAAATGAGAAGGAAGTAAATAGTGCACTAAGTACAGATCTACGTACGCACAGTATTTACCAGAAAGCACAAAATATAAAGAACTTAGATAGTGAAGTTAATCGTGCAAACATGCCCAAATATTTTTCTTTTTGCCCACATTTACTGGTAGTAGTTGACACTCCTCCTTCATAACTTGTGTACTATAAACAGATTTGAACCAGTTATCTGAGACAGTTTTTCATGAACGACCTTCATCTTTTTATCTTTATATTAAAAAATGTCTTATTAACTATTTCAGAACATAAAATACACTTCAAAATACTTTCAATGAAAAGACCACTAGAGGTAAAATACAACGTATTCACATACATATGATAGATAAAGAGTCAGGTCTTAAGCTTGCTAAAGAGCAGGAATGTAAAAACACCCATGATCACTACATAGACCTTAGATAGAAAATGCCTTAAAATAAATTCCCTGTTATATTCAGTATATTTCAGGATTTTGAAATGTCAACTGCAATGAAAACCTATGAAAACATATTGTACTTTCAGGGCTGTGCCAGTAAAATTGACTGAATACATCAGGTATGCACTGAGATTGGATTTTAAGAAAGTGCAACAGGTGTCATTAACACTCAAAGAGGAGTTTGTAAAAGAATTATCAAGTGTGTGAAATAGTCATAGAGTGGCCAGGACAGCATAAGAGATCGTCATCGGGTGTGCACAATTGTACTAATAATATTTAATAAAGAGCTGCACATAATGCCAAACTAAAAGAATCCCTTACGTAAGAGCAAAAGAGGAATGTGATTTAGCGCTAGAGAAAAGAAGAGATCAAAATAATTAGGACAACAAAATCATAAGGATGTTCAGCAGTGATCTGGGTGTGTATTGCGTGGTGAAATGGTTATTATTTTCTATTTTAAAAGGGATCGACATCATTAGTCCTGAAACTTCTGATACTGATTACTCTTTGTGCTTACAGGTTAAAGATGCCCAGTGGATTTATCTATTTGCTATTTTAAAGTATTGTGAGTCAGAGGAAGCCAGACATTTCTATCAAACATCATACGGTGACTCAGAGTGAGACTCCCAAGTCTTCACCCTGCACTAAATGAACAGACAGCATATTGTTCCTCTGTGGCTCTTTGCCGCCTCACCTCTGCCTCCGCCTGCTTAATTAAAGGATAATTACCCAGAATAAGAACGCACCACCAGCGAACGACCACATGTCTCTTTCCATCCATGCAGAGTGCAGTGTGTGTGTGTGTGTGTGTACGTGTGTGTGTGTGTGCGGGGAAGGGTCGGATATCTGGAATTTATCAACTTGTTCAGGAAATGAGAGCCAAGCCCTACCTAACTCTAAAAGTGTGTGAGCAGGTACAAAACCAACATATGGGAGTGTGTGTAGTGTGTATTCACGCATACTACACACACACTCGCAAGAATTCAGCTCTCCTTCTGTCATTTTTAATCAAGAATATGATCCCTCATCCCATCTGGGTTCTCTGACTTGGTGGGCTGCAGCATGCGCACTTAAACACATCTAATAGTAAAGAAGCTCAGAAATACACACACATGCGGACACACACACACACACTCATACATGTAAACATGGACAATGTGAGGGGTTACTATGTTTTGACTTATTCAATAGCAGATGGTCCTATCCTTGGAGCTGATAGGAGTAGCTAACATAGAAGCGACCCTGATTAACAAACACAAACATGTAAAGAAAATAACTTTGTTTTCGAGCTCCATTTTCAAAACAAGCGGCCTAGCTGTCCATATTTTGTATTATTCTGTCTTTCGGGTTGAATTAGTCGAGTAAATCCCCGTCCTGTTATCAGACGCCTCCTTATCACATCACAATCTCCTCCGCTCACTCACTGAAGCGGCTGCTGTGTCTGTGTGTGTACACGTGTATGCCTATGCATGTGAGTGTATGTGTGTGCTCAGGGACAGAGGTCAATAAGATAACATTTGGTGGACCACCTGCCGGGAAGCTCAGTTTGCTCAATACAAAGTCTCAGCTAACCTGTGACTGTGTGTGCATGTGTCTGTGCTCATGTGTCGGGGGTTTACCTCAACAACCAAGGTGCAAAGGATTTGATTACTGATAAAGTTTAAGGACAAGAACCGTGTGAAGAAGACGAGGTTTAAAGGAAAAGACTGACATGGGAACAAACACTAAAACCAGGCAAGACCGTGAGATCATACAATACACCATTTAGTCCTCTTACAACGTTTGTTAGACTTCCGTTAACTCTAACTCTTCACTTCAATTCAACAATAAGGATGAGAATATACAATAATGTATTCTCATTGTAACAAGGGGAATTAGTTCTCTCAAGAGCAATAGGGACAACCTGATCATACCCGTCATAAAAACTTAATTTGCTCAGCACATTTTAACTTTTGCCTGTTGACACTGTGGCAAAAACATAAACCCGTAAGTAGCAGTAATAATTACAACAATGTTAAAAGTTAAAGCCTTTTTTCTTGGAATCTTTTAATGTCCATTAATCCCTTTAATCTATTTTGCTTTCTTATACTTGATGTATTTATCATCTGATTCATCACTTTTACTCTGTTAATTTGCATTTATTCTCATTAACTTATGATACTCGATTTTTTGTAGACTTCTCTCTGCCTGGTCTAACTATAAAATGTTTATTTAGTTATCCTCCTAAGTCCCTGTCTTGCTTTAAACATTTTGTCAAATGTGTTATATATATGAAAAAAGCTTTTAGTCAACAATTTACTCCTTATTTTTGTTTTTAGGTGTGTCAACTCCAAAGCCCAAAGAAGACAGACCTCCTCTGCTCTTGCTCACCCTGCTGAAATTTTGATTTGTATGACAACTCACCATTCTTTATACATTATCCATTTCATTGATGAAAACCTATCAGTGAAAGGTGTCTTCTTTTTAACTGCTTTTCATTTTTACAGACATCCCCATTTCTCTCTCAGTCTATTGCTATCAAGAAAGTGTTATCAAATAAGGGGAAAAGAAAATGAGTCTATTCTGAAAAAAGCTTTCATAGAATTGATGATCATGTCAAAACCAGAGACAATTTATGAGACAAACAAGCTGAGAAACAAATCATGCACAGCAGAGAAAATACTCTACTTTTGTGTTGCTATTGGAGTGGACTTTAACAAGTCCTTCTACCAGTTTACTACCTCATAACCTGGAGGAGAGGGTTGTCTACATCATTAGCTTTTACCAACTACACTGATAACAGCCTACAGGGTGGTTCAAACATGGAAACAGAGAAGGAGTGAAACACCAATAAAGAAAACCGCTCCAAAAAGTCCGTCCAGTTAATTCAGCTTTAGATAAAACATGAACTCTGAGCGTTTGAGAGAAAATAAAGATGAACTGAATGTTTAATTTTGCGATCATTTGGCCGTGAGACTTTTAGTGTGTCTTGCGCATCTGCCTCACAACCAGAGGAATTTTAATTGTCTAAGACAAAGGAAGATTTAATCTATCTTTCACTCTTTTACTCTCTTTCCTCCCTTTTTTTCTTGCCGTCCTTTCTTCCATGAAACAATAAAATCGTCTGGCCTCTAAGTTATGGAGAGCGTTTGAAGTGGCTGGAGGAGCCAGTAAATTTAGTGGGCACCTTTGGGAGTCGGTTCAGCGGAGCAGTGGCTGCACCTATATTTCATGTGTGCATGTGCACGTGCCTGTGTGAGCATGTGTGTGTGTGTTTGCATGTCCATGTGTGCTCACAAGGCTGTGACTGTGTATCTATGTGTCATACAGATTATGTGTGTGCATGAGTGTGTGTGTGTGAGTGTATTTGTTCGTGTGGCTCTATTTCATAGTCACGCTGATTTGTGGTCGTCTACATCAAGTTTCTCAGGATGCTGTAAATCTCGCTGTACAAACTGCATTGAGAAAGATACACACACGTGTTTGTGTATGATTTGGTAAGTGCACTTACATTATAGTTTTGCATATGTTGTAAGGTTTTGTTGTTTGCTGACAACCATTTCTCGAAAAATTTGCAATGAAACTGGAACTGCTGGAGCTCGCTGGTTTTACTTATTCAAATATTGAATTTATGACAAAAACAGCTGATGAAATAAACACTGCATTGATTTGAATAAAACGCCCTATCATTCTTTAATTTATTTTTCAATAAGTAGGATGGATTGGGATTAACAGTGACTGTTTTAAAAAAGTTTAATCAAATTTAGATTTTAAGTTTTGGGACGACCTGTAACTCAAGCTTAGATCTGGATCCAGCAATTTCACAAATGACTCATATGCAGCTCAGCATAACCCAAAATCAAAGTGCTGCTCACCCCCTATGACTTGAACTGCCTTTGCCCTCGAAGTCCTATTAAACTCCACATTTTGTATTTTTCTCTCTGTTATATCTAATTAAATATTATTTGTCTTACAGTGTAAAAATCTCTGTCACGATAACAAGGATGCTTCTTTTAAGCAATGTTTTAAGCATCCCTCTGCAGGCCTCTATTTATTTGCTGCATCCGGGTTTTCTAACACTGATTTTTGAGTGAGTTGCAACAAAGAGAAGAAATGCAATAACAAAAATAATGAGAAGATGTGAAAAAAAAACGGAAAAAAAATTACAATTCTAGATTTTACTTTTACCTTTTCCACTGTCCCTGTCTGCTTTTGCCTCTTTTTGCAACCCCCCCTCCTCCTTTCATTTTTTTCTGTCTTTTTCACTCTCCTTTTCTCAGTTTTCTTAGACACCTGTGCAGGTTTAATGTTTCAGCCCAGTCCCTGAAAAATAAATGTGGAGCTCCAATCTCTTAATCCACTCGGCTCCACGCAGCCACGTCACATGACACTGCCACGGCCGCCCTGATGCCCAGACAACACTGGAGGGAGAGATTGTTTTGTCTGAGTGTGTGTGTGTTTGTGTGTGTAAATGAATGAACAGCTAAGTTTGTGTGTGAGGTAAAGAGAGTCATAAGAAAATGCTGGTGTTAGTTGGGTTTGTATTTTTTATTCATGTGTCTGTCTGAGTGTCTGGATACTGTTTGTGTTTAAGGAGAGGAACTAAAGTCGGGAAAGGGGAGGAAGACTAATCTCTTTTCATTCAAATCAAGGTCCTTGGTCCACTTTTCTGTGTGTGTGTGTGTGTGTGTGTGTGTGTGTGTGTGTGTGTGTGTGTGTGTGTGTGTGTGTGTGTGTGTGTGTGTGTGTGTGTGTTTAGGGATGATACCCTATCCACAGCAATCAGTCTGACCTCCACTCTGGAGTGAACTGCTCTCAATGATTAATGGATCTGCCTCCGTGCTCGGTCACCAAGGCAACCCGAAACCCGATAGCCCTCAGGAATTCGCTAGCTCGCCCTCAATGTTAGACTGCATGTGTGTGTATGTGTTGCTAGGCTGTGGGTGGGAGGCAGTGTAAGGCTAAATGTGACTCTTTGGAAAGATGGAGTTGGTTGTAGTTTATAGTAGAAAAGTCAATTTTGTGTTTTCAGTCCTTTTATTGTTTCTGTAAGATTTTTTTTAAATAATAAATATCACTAACTTGAGGTTTTGGGGCTTATTTAATTATTACATTTTATTTTAGGGGCATGTAATATCAAACAATGATCATACCAACCTCCTGGAGGGATTTGCCATCTCAAATTGACATAATTCAGTATTTGGTTGTCTTCTTTGTGCCAAACAGTCGTCTAAACAACAAAGCCTAGGCGGCATCAGTGATTGTGTCTTTATTTAGTGATTGTACGTTTGTGTATGTACTGTTACAGTGTGTATGCTTATGTGGCCATATGTCCATCTGATGAGTAAATCCATGTTAACAAGATGGCAGCTCTTAAGTTAAAGTGCTGCAGCTCAGCTAGCAGACTGGACATTAAACGCACCAACTTGACAATAAGGTGTTATTTCAAAGGGGCCACTTAACACCTTATTGATCTAGAGACCATAGGGGCTCATTAGAAGATGGCTCAGAGTTACTGCGGTGTACTTGTAACACAGTCTGATGCTTTCGTGACAATGTCAAAACAATCTTAGAGATCTTTGTTTTTACTATTTCACCCCAATAGTTCACTGGTATCAAAGATGTGTACAGTAGGGGTGGGAGAAAAAAAATTGATACAGCATTGTATCGTGATATTTTGTCTGGTGATATATCGTATCGTTTCATTTACCAAGTATCAATTTTTCAAATTAATTCATATGTAGTCAAATCTATGATAATGGAAAAATAAAATCAACTGTTTGTCCAGTGAGGTGACATCATAGAGCAAGGTAAAGTTAGTACAACAAAAATATACATATTTAAGGTTTGCAAGATGTGCTACATGAAAATAAAATACAGCGCAAATAAGACAAACACAAAGGAAAGCCAAATGCTAAATCAGCTAAACAGTTTAAAAATTGTATGAATTGCGATATATTGTATCCCAATACTCACAGTATCACAAAATGTTAAAAAATTGCAATAATATTGTATCGCGGCCCAAGTATCGTGATAATATCGTATTGTGGGGCCACTAGTGATTCTCACCCCTAGTGTACAGAGAGAGCTTTAACACTGAGTGACTCTGATAGTCATTACTTCTTAAGCAATATTCTCACTGTTTGTCTTGGATAATTTACAAACATGAACAACAACAAAGAAAAAAGGTAGATAATGTTGCACAGGGATAATGAAAGTTGGCGTCATTGTTCAAGAGCAACGACCCACAACAAGTGTCTACCTGTAGAGGCTTCGACAGAAATCATGTGAACAAACAGATAACATTGTTAAATGTCATTGAGGTGAATTGCTACATCATTTAAGTTGAACTGCAAACAGTGGTGGCCAACTCCCAAATTCCTGATTAATTTCTCAAGAAAGATCTGTGGTTTCTTTTTTTTTTTCTCATTTCTTATCTACTGTGGTTCCCTGGAAAAGGCATGCACGTGAAACACACTGACACAGTGCTTTAATAACTCCACATTCTCTTTGTCTGTGGCCTTGTTGGAAACATTTTAGATAGTTCAATATTTCAATACTCAGCTTGTTGGGTGTATTTTTTGTCATCTGGATATGTAATGATATAATCAGTTTTAGATTGTTTGTGAGGCTTGGGGCCAAGACGTAACACCGTATAATAGATATGAAAACATCATGGCGTGTGTGTAGAGCTGTGATATGTCTAATGAAAGATATTTTCTGATGATTCCTAAACAGCTGAGATTGGATTGAATTATTCAGCAGAGATCATTCACTTGTAAGTCGAATCCTTTGTGAGAGTTCAGGATAATTCTTAGGAACACATAAGTAACTTCGAGTTGTGTTTGGGCCAAGTATTAAGTGTGTTTTTGTGTGTTTTGTATATGTGTGTGTGCAGGTATCTTGTATCAGAACTGATGTGTGTGATGAAGGGTGAATCTCTGGCAGGAAACCACAAAGACCAGACCAGAACTCTCAGCTTCATGTTATCACATCTGTGATTTCTCCTGAGTTTTGCATCATCATAGTGAAAGTGTTGCTGTCAATAAAAGTCAACTTTATAATTTGCTCTCTCCTCATTTCTTTTCCTGAACACTGCAGACCACACCTCAGCCTCTTACACTTGATACAAAACACTAAAAATGTGCAGTAGTCTAGTCTATGAAATTAGCATTTTGATGAAGGGGAATAATCAAGTACCAAAACGAAGACTTCTTGTCATTTACATTGTAATATTTCATCTGAAATTAACTTCCTCTGTCTATAAGTTACATTTCCATAAGTATTAATTCTGAGGAATAATTTTTGTTTATAATTCCCTTACAGACAAAACTCTACTAATAAAGAGCACTGAACTACAGCAGAATTTGTCTGATGAGTTCAGCAGATACTCCAAGTCCAAGATTTATTTCTGATTTAGTCTCACTGAGTTTTTCAGAAAAGATACTGATCAGATGATGCCGATGTATGAGTTTGTGTGCGTGTGTTTTTGTATGTCTCTCTCTTTGTCTATGTGTGTACGTGCTGAGTGACGGGCGCAGCGGGGGTATCTGTGACAGTGTGTCAGGCATGTAAACCCAGCCTGACCTGGTCTGCTTTGGCCCTTCAGGTCCCTTAGCAGAAACACACGTACGCACAAAAACACACACACATACGAAGACACAAACACGCAATTCTCTTGTTTCTCAGTGCCCGTGAAGCTTCCTGAGCTCTCACACATGAAACGTCTTTGTCATAAGGGTAATGCTGTCAGACTAAAACTTGTGGTAGAGATCAAAACTCTGTGAAAATGTGTGAAAATACCTCACCACTAACTACCACCATACAGCAAGGCTATTGGCCACAGCAATACAAACAACCTATCCACCTACAAAAGCTATGGTGTGCATTTACTACAACGCCTTTTATAATGTGTCAATAAGATTTTTTTTATAAAGTTCACCACACCTCTGTAAGAAAAATGGCAGTGAAACACAAAGTTACAGGATGCACGATAAACATCAGTTTTAAAATTTTTGCATGATAAAACTGTCTATGTTTGCAAGTCTATATGTGGGATTTTATGACAAATTTAGCAAGACATATGACTTAAGATCACAAAAGTGAAATTCAGCATCTTAAGTTTAATGTCATATGTATCTGGGTGCTTGAAAATGTAAAGCAGTGAGTGCCTGCATGTGTGTGTGTGTGTGTGTGTGTGTGTGTGTGTGTGTGTGTGTGTGTGTGTGTGTGTGTGTGTGTGTGTATGTGCATGTACACACAAACTTGCACAGTTTAAGAGTATGTAACTAGAAAGAAACTGGAGTCAGATGGAGTTCAAGTGAACATACAGTCCAGTATTTCCAACCACTGAGGCAAAAGCAGCAGAAATGTTTAATCATAGTGGAACATCAGAAATAAAGACACTCTGTGTCTCTGCCCGGGAATGAGTGGAGACCAGAAAGTACAGTAAAATGTTTGTTTATGGGTGTGTGTGTGTTTACACATGACTATTTAATTGTTTGTGACACTGAAGTGAAGTCTCAGGCCATCTTGTTGTAATTTCATAATCCTTATATGTGGAGGGACACAGACAGAGTAAAGGTGAGTGTGAGAACGTGTGTGGCTCTTTGTCCGTGTGTTAAGGATGTGTGTGTGTATGTGGTGAAATAAAGAAAGCATGAATCTCAGGTCAGATTATGTGTCACAGCTCGGTTAAACTGTGTGACAATGAACCACAGCATCATTGATTGGAGCTGTCACTTGGAGATGAATAGCAGAAAGAGATGTAGTTCAGTGGTATTATGTTTAAGTTACTCTGTCAGCCCGTCTTTCACACTCTGAGCTCTGAAGAGCGGCTGAAATTAGTCATAATCAAAACACTGACGTCTCTGTCTCCTGCCGCAGTGACAGCACACAGCTGTGTCCTCCAAGTTCAGTGTGGGGTGTGTTTATGTCAGTGCACTTGTGTAAAATGAGTGTCCATACATCACGTCTGTAGATGTGTGTAGGTGGAGTACAGCAAAGTGTGCAGATTCTCATTCACTATAGTAGCATCTAAGAGGGCAGTGCAGCACCTCTGCAGCCAAAGTGTATCAATGAACATTAGTACCGATGTTTGTGGCAACTTATGGGGCATAATGTTTACAATGAAAAGCATGATAGATGACTGCTAGGTTTTATTTTACTGCGTTCGATTAGTAAAAAAAAAAAAAAAACTGCCTTGTGCAATAAATAACTTCAGCCTTCACTACAGGTGGAAATATGCTGATTTATCACTATCAGGTCATGTCCAGGTTGATCTATTATGTCATGTATCAAAACTCTAAACTCTGGAGCAAAAGGTGAAAACACGAACAACTTTACAGCTCTTTACTTTTTTTGTATGTACTATTTAACGTACGGATACAAGCCTGACGTGGGAACTGTGGAGCGTGCACAGAGGCAAGTTACAAGTACATTTGTGATGTATAGCTAAAGAAGAAAATTTATCCTTCATGGTATTATTTCAGTATTATGTCAGTCCTAACAGTGAGAAATTCAATTTAGCGTAGTTGTAGTCAAACCAAAGTTTTTACATGTATTAAAAAAAAAGTCAATTTTCAGTCAACAGTGACTGAAAATTCATTTTTTCTTTGACATCATGTAACATACTGATTTTAACATATTGTTTGTCCATTTTTTTTTCAGAACTGGAAGAAAAAAAACACAAAAACTTCCACATGAAGGAACCACAGCATCAGTGAAGATTACAGAGGAGAATCCAATCGCAAGATATTTTCTAGCCTAAATTTTTCCAAAAAAAGCACAGAAAGATCCTCCACTTATGAAAAGATACTTCGATAATAAAAGGTTTTGTGATAACATCACTTCAGAGATTAAAAGAAAAATAAGACATCATTGTATTGTTGCAAGTGTTATTTAAAAGTGTATTTATCAATAATTCACCCTCAGCATATGGTAACTTATGGGTTAACATGATGCATGCACATGTGAATCTTTGCATGTGTGCTCAATGAGAAGCCTGACAAAATGAAAGGCGGCGAGTGGAGCAGGGTTCAGCACGGGCCAGACCTCCAGCCCTAATCAGGTTACATGATTAATGAGGGGGGGAAATGGGCTCATGTTGTATTAAGAAAATGTGTGTTTGAACCCAAAGCGGTGGGTATCAGCAGCCTAATGCATCAGCCATCGACTGGACACCTGAGATCCACGCTCTGCTGCAGGCGCTGTTAGCTTGCTCCCAGCGGAAGGACACTGCATCGATTCACCTCAAACTCCCTCTTATTCGCTCACTTTCTTCCTTTGCCTCTTTTTTCCCCCTCATTCTGTCTTTTCATGCATTTCTTTTTCACCTTCTTTGTTACATATAATTACTCCTTTTCTCCCTCTCTTTTTTGGTATCTGTAATCTGTCTTGCTCTTTTTTTCTATTTGCTTGGTTTGCAGAAATCACACAAAAGCATCAGTGTTTTTCTTTTCAGTGTGATTTAACTTCAATACTTGCTAGGGAGCGATGGCCAGCACTCAACCCTCACAACCCAAACATCAAACTGTCATTTAATCTTTGGTACTCGAGGCTTGTATGATATATTAGCAAGCACTGAATGAACGTGCAGACGCAACAGGACTTCTTTCTGGCCTGATTTCCATGACAGGACAAGGGTTTATTCATTATTCATGTCCTCAAGTTTCCACTAAAAAAGTATTTAAAAACTCATTTGAAGGTTCTGATGTCAAAACAAGATTTCCTTTGTAAGTAGGTGTACAGTTTCATATCTGAAGTGAATTCTGTGTTTTTTGCAGGTCCTTGAAGCTGTCTGTATTTGGACACTCTCTGGGGAGGTGAGCTGTTTCATGCACAGTAGCTGCAGCACTCTCACATTCAGACGCAGGAGCTGATGACTGATTAGTCTAGATTTGAACACAAACAAACCTGATCCTCGCTCATTTTCCCCTGAAACAATATGCAGTTTTTTATCTTATCAACAGCAGTAATCATGGCAAAATAAATTAGAGAGTTACATTAATATGTTGGAGTTGATTCCAGCTTGTGCTGCTGAATTAAAATCCCCTGAACCTCAAACAGCCTGTTCTGTACAGCACCAAGGAGTGCCTGTCATTTTAAAACTTCAACCAGTGTATCAAAACATCAAAAATTACTCTTAAGCTAATAACAATAATAATAATAAAAAATCCTACAAACTATGATTTCGCAGGTTTCCTCTGTAACTGAAGAAGTTTTGCTGTCTTTAATTATTTGTAAAAGTTACAAAATTATATTTGCTGGAGAGATCCCGACCCCTCATATACATAAATATAACAATAATAAAGAAAGCATAGTATGATAAGTTTACATCACATGATCTTCTAAGAGGTTAAACATTAACTAACAACTATTGTGATTTCAATCGTTAAATTGATGAATAAACTTATCAGAAAATTAATTAAATATAACTTAATGGTTCTTATTTAACCTACAGTTTTAACATTTAACATTGTTGTTGTAATTTGAAAACTTAATTCAAGTCATATTTTTGTCTTGGTTTAAAGACATCTAGTGTGAATGTGAGGTGATTCTTTTATGTTTTTGAATTTTTCAAAAAATTTATGGGGATTATTTTTTGTTGAGAAGAAAGGACAGTGGACAAAATAAGAGGATAGAGTCGGGATTTACATCTAGTGCAGGGTCACAAGCTGGAGTCCAACCTAGACTGCACACTTCCTGGACCTCATGTTGTCATGGACTAATTATCATCAACTTAATTTTCCAGCGACTGATTTTGTTGTTTATTTTTTTGTAGACAGTGTTGACTAATCATTGTATCTCACATAAGAGGGCTGACAGACTCGGGGGAACTATGATCAGGTTGCAGCAACTTTTCACATCAAACTGGAGATGTTTTTCTCCTACAAGTTGCAAGTTCTAACCTGTTAATACGACTTCGTCTGTGTTTGTTTTTGTAGGTTTTTATGTGAGATGGGGTTTACAACATTTCTGGTTTGTTTTGGAGCCTAAAAGATGTATTTCTTGTTTTCAGGAAGAAAACAAAAAAACACTTTTGATCCCAAAAAACTTTTAAATATGAGCAAATTCCCATAATCTGGCATCACTGAATTTATTCATTTACAACTTTTGGTGTTCAGGAAATAGCTGTTCACCAAGGTGTTTGTTTGATTCGATCTTTAGTCAGCATTTTTTAAGTGCTTGTATTTGCTGAGTTTCAAATAAAAATGAAAAAAAGTTGTACTCAGTTTCTTCCTGCGTTTGAGTTTTAGTTGTTTCGATTAAGTAGAAAAATGTTCATTTGAGTCAAAATTTAAAAAAATCTGATAGTCCTATAGGGGGTCAAGTAAGCGAGGGATGAAGGTTATGGTGAGTGGGAGACCAGAGGGTCACGGGGTCCATAAAGTATCCTGCTGGCAGCATCAGGTGTGTCTCCTCAAAGTGAAAGCTAATGGTGTTTAGCAGTGTAAACGGTGAAGAAAATGGATTGAAATCAGGACAAAGATGAAGTTTTTCTCCTTGTGGTGTCGTTTACTCTCTGGCTCATGTGAAAATGCCAGATTAATGAATAATCAGTGTGCAGTCTGTGTTTGCTCTCCTCAACTCAACCATCATCTCCAATGAGATAGTTTACTCTGAAAAGTTCAGTTACTGACTCTCACAAAGGAGAAGTATGAGGCGTTCATTAAAACAAAATAACCCGCAGCTCTGAGAATCAAAGCAATAACGCAGACGGGATAAATAAATAAATGAATGAAATGATGATCATGGAGGAGAGTCAGAGAAACATTGAAGAGACCGCTAGAAAAACCCTGCAGATATGGAAACAAACCTGCAATATATAGACAGACGATTAGCGTAGCATGTCATCAGTAAAGATGATTCACTGTCTTAGCGTCTCTCTCTGATGCACATAGACATGAATGCACACGCACACGCACGAATACACACAGACTCCCCTTATGGATTCTGCAAATCCAGCAAGGAAAATATCTGTGTTTTGAAAGTATTACCAGTCATATTTTCATATTTCTTTCCCCCCGCTGTTATAATTTTCTCCCCTGTCAAACAAATCAAAACGCCAAGACCAAACGGAGGCTGAGGGAGCGGCTCACATTTTCCACTGTCAGGTTCACAAACGCTGCTCTTACAAACAGGCTCTGTGCAGGGAGACATGACCTGTGAATATTTCTGTGTGTGTGTGTGTGTTTGTACGTGTCTGTACGTGTGTGAGTATAAGATGGCCATATGCTGAATTTCAGGTCAGTGAAAGGAGTGCAGCTCAGTCTGATTAAACTGTATTATTTTACTAATGCAGACGTTAAAAAGACATCAGAATTTTTTTTTTTTGGAAATTTTTTCCTTTAAATTATTTAAAATTAAAAATAATTCTGTTAGAGAAAAAAAAAGAAAAAACTTAAAGCTCCTGTAAGGTCTTTTTTGACATTTGTGAAAATGAATAAAACTGATATTGATAAATATTTATGATAAACGAAAGCAAAAAGGACCACCAGCCACAAGATTGTTTATTTTTATGTTGTGATTTTAACCCCTAAAACTGGTGTGCGGGGGAAGGGGGGAAGGGTTCCTCACAGGAGCTTCAAACTCAATTCAAAACTCATTATTCCAGTCAATATAATTCAATTGTATATGACTACATTACTTAAGTTTTATATATAGGGAAATCAAGTAAGTAGTCAGTCTATCCTCTAATATATGCTTAGTGTAAAACTGTGCGAGTGTATGTGTTGTTGTTAGAGTTGAAGTTTAGATTTTAGGACTAGTGATAGTGTCTGAGCTAAACCATTTTAGTAGCAAAGTTTTACTCTTTTTAATGTAACAAGTGCCTGTAAAACAGATATATTTTCATACTCATATCTAATCTGCAACTCTAAATATCAGCAAGTGTAAAAAAATTGTAGTAAAAACAGGTTTTCATACTGCTAAGGATTGTCATCATGACATAAAGAGGCTAAATTCAATATTCTCAACTATACTGATGTTCTCCAAAGAAGCATCCTGCCACACTTAACTGAAACTAAATATATAAAACAAAAAAAGGAAAGTAGGCATGGTCAACTAGAGTCCCTTTCATCGGCCAAACAGGATAGCGAGGCGATCTGCTGCCTCCTGGTTACATTTCCCTTTAGAGCAACATTCATCATCAAAGGGTCAAAGGTCAAGAGATTCATCAAAAGAGTTTGTGCAGTGTGAGGTACACAGAGGAGCCTCTCAAGATTAGAGACGGCCTGCTGTGTTTATGGCAGTCTGCATTAAGAACTCTCCCATCATCACCCGCGCCTGCTCTGTGTGAACTCATCAACCAATCCATTTGGGTGAGACACTTAACCATCAAACAGAGAGAGAGAAAGACAGAGAGAGAGAGAGAGAGAGAGAGAGAGAGAGAGAGAGAGAGAGAGAGAGCGCACTCTGCACACACTGAAGAAGGAGAGTTTTCAAGATGTACTTTTGTCAGTTTAGAGAGATGTTTTCCCGAGAGCTGTTTTCCCCCTTCTGCTTGTCTGTTTCTTTTTTTAGGCTTTAACTCTTTCGAAAGGCTCACTATGTGAAAGAAAATATTTGTTTCATGATCAAGAAACACTCAAAAGTACACGAATTTCTGGACATCCAAAACTTCCAAATACTTTAAATAAGCTACAGTGAATCTAACATGACTTTTTAATGATTTGTCAGTTGAAAATATTTCAAAATCTTTCATTAATGTCTGAACAAGAAAAAAAAAACAGACAAGAGAAAAGATGCACCGTTTTCAAAATCCATGAAAGTGGTTAAAATGAAGAAAATAAAAGAAAAAAAATACTCCAATCTTGTTTACAGTCATTAGTACTTCAAATTTCCTGTGTTTTATCCAAGCCCTTGCACTGCTAATCCTCTTCGTCTACAGCTCAGAGACAGTTTGTAGCCGTATGTTACTCATCCACAGACTACACTGTACATGATGCCTATTGTGTTTGACATGCGTTGATTGCTAGACAACCAGTGTTGAAGAGAAACTCGCCCCGAGCATCTGAGTGTTCTATTTAGCACATTATTGTGGTTTCCATATTAATTTTAATATGATGTCTGTTTCAGTTTGTGCAACCAAGTCGAGAGTTAGGGTTACCAAAACTATCCCCATGATGAATGTTGGAAAACTGAAGTTAAGTTCCCATCTTTCATTGATAAAATGAAGTCTACATATCTTCATGTTCTTGCCTAAGGATGTTGGCTCCATTAGCTGATGTTTGGACACCTGTAGGGGCTCGAGACTCGGCGAGCCGAGCTGTCATCGAGGGGCTTTGGTAAATCGAGAGATTATCCAAACAGTGGGACACTAGCTAATAAAAACATGCCCCCCCCTTACCCACCCAGTTCTCTGCATTAGTGTTGCATTAGCGCAGAGGGTGCAGAGAATGGGCGACACAGGGGTTAGAGTGATGCATAGTTTGAAGCTACTAAAGGGATCTTCCGTAAATTATTAGTTACTTATCACAGGCTTGATTTGTTACAGGAATAACTGGAGTCTCTTTCTGTCAGAGGATGATAGGGGTGTGCAGCTCTGTGACGCATGTCTGTAGGACAGAAATAATGTAAAAGTAAGTGTTGTTAGGGAATGATTTTACAAGAATAATTAAGAATGATAAGTTGGTCTAACTGGTAAAAATCTAATTAATAAAGACAAAGAAGGATTTGTGATGCAGCCAGTTCACAAATATTGAAATCATCTTACTGTGATGCATGAGACAGCTTGGAAAACATCAAAATCATATTCTAATCATGTTTTCTATTGAACATACTCCTGTATATGTTTATTTTTAGAAGTTTCACAAATTAACTGCAACTAAAAATATTCAAGTCAATAAAAAAAAGAAGTAAAACTGCTCAATAAGGGATTCATCCGTAGTTTAGTCAGTCTGGGAAATTTGAAATAACCTTTATCCATTTGTTCCTTCAAAAGTTATTACGATCTCTGAAAAAATCAATGACGTCAGGTGACAAAGAAATAATTAGGAAGTTGCCTGTTTTACGGCTGTCTGAGCGCGTGTGTGTTTGTGTGTGCAGGGCCAAAGAGCACAGTGAGCACAGTATTCTCTGTGCAGCCGTACAGCAGCCACACTCATGGTGTGTAGTCTGGTCATGGGCATAAACTTCAATTTCTGTCCATGACATTTATTAACTCCTACAAATACAACAGCAGCTTTTTTTTTTCTCAAGGCACGGAAAATGAAATCATTTAATTTCCTTCACGTAACCTTGTTTTTTTTCAGACTGTCTCAGGGTGAATTGAGGGAAAGGTTTCAATGCATGAAATCATTTGTTTACACAGTGAAATGCCTCCTTTTCCACCAGCAACCAACACGGCGTAGGTGCCTCAACACACTGTAATCCATTTATGCAGTCTGTTAATATATGGCAGAGGGGTTAAGGGTTTAATTCAAAACAAATTAGATCAGTTAAAATAGATCTGCTTCATGTGATTTACTGCTGCATGCAGATTTTTCACTGCCTTTAACTTTATTTTTCATAAAAGCTTGTGCATCATCTGAAATAACTAAGAAACTAATAACTAAGAAAATGCATTAGATCAATGTATCACTTGTTTATTTAAAGATGTGCAAATACTCACTGCATGCATGGCATAAACAAGTTTAATGCCAATAAACGAGGAATGGTAACGCCATTAGGATGTAATTGCAGGTCTCTGAGGTGGTCAGGACACTGCTGGTAATAACAGTCAGAGAGAGCGAATCTGCCTTTTATTAAAAACTGCTTTGGTGATGGGGAGTAAATTCATTATCTGACTCTATTAGCTCAGCAAAGCGGGAATAAAGTGGAAGAGAGGTACTGCAAAACGCCTCAGGCTAATGTAGACTGTGTGTTTGTGTGTGTGTTCATCTCAATTCATACATAATCATGTCTTTAGATTTACCTCAGCAGCTTAAACCAGATTTAGACTTCCATAAAAAAAAACATACTATCATGCATGAGCTAAATACAGGAGGTATAAGGTGTAAAAAAATGTCTCTTATGTTCATCAGGTCGTGTGTTTTTAGCCATAAATATAACAAGAAAAATTAAAATGAAAAATGAAAAAAACAAGCATCCCTGGCTTGAGTCACACTAATGCACTATGTTCAAACATACACACATTGAAGTACAGTATACTCAGAGATCATTAATCATAAGTACATACACGATCATTCATATCAGAGGAAACAGGCAATCTGCCGCTCATCTCCTCTATCCTCCCATCCTGCCTGGATTTACAACAGAGTCCATTTCAGCTCATACACAGCCCCTCATCTCCCTCCACTTTACTCAAGTCTCTGCCTCCACCAGCCTGTTTCTCCTTATATCTCAAAATAATCCCCCCAAAAAGCCTCTGCGGGTCTGTTTCCCTGCTCTTTTAGAGCAGAAACACAATGGCTGCTAAGCTACAAGTACAAGCCAGCAGAGGAGATCAGTCAGTTTGATGAATGCAGTCACATCTGTTGAAGATTTCCTCTGCAGATAAAGTGAACACTTACTGGTTTTTAGGGGTTTTCTTTTCCCATTATTCCCACTGCAGCGAGATTAATCTAAATCTTTTTTTTTTTTTTTTTTTTTTAACAGAGGGTTTCGGACAGTTATGTTTGAGAATGAAAAAAAAAGACCTTCAAGAATATCGACAAAGATTTCTGACACCTAAAGACCAGGTTAGTGTTGTTTCATCTTCTTTCACATCTTTTCTCTGATCTTAAAAATATGTTAGTGATGACACTTGTGAATAATCTTTGGATTGTATTTACATTAACTGGCACTAAAGCACCGGACAATTCCTATCTCTGAAAGCCATGCCAGTCTCAACAGGAATAAGGCATTAGCATGTTTAATTTAACCTCATCAGCTTGTTTCTTCTTTGACACTTTTCCTTCTTTTCCCTTCAGTGTGCTGCTGCGTGAAGACTAGAGGTGAATAATTTGTTGTGTGGTGGTGACAGTGGAGGTAGGAACCCACAGGGGTTTAAAGAGAGGACCATGTGGGCCTATCAGGTTACAGTATTGACCCGAGGTCTGGTTTGCGTTGGTAAAAAAAAGAGCAAGGAATGGGAGGAAAATACATGAAATAACAAATAAATAAATGATTAAAAAACTATGTTTCATGTATTTGTTTTTTTTTATGTTATTCTTTATATTTCAGAAAAAACATTTTTTATTTTAAAAAACACATTTAAATTTTCATATATATATTTATACTCATAACAATATTCCAACTGTAACAAAAATGAAAAAAATAGTGTCCTTCACAGAAGAGTAAAATAATGTGTTCAACAAATGCTGAAAACTCTTCATAAAAGTGAATCTTTGCAGCTAAGTTATAAAGAAAAACTCCACAAATGTTGGATCTCATTACAAGTTATAACCCACAACAATTTAACCATTGGATAAAAAACTTCCGCAATGTGAAATAGATCACAGTGCTTTCCTTAAAAATGTGATCATGTCATGTCATAAAGGGAAGCTGCAGCTGAGTGAGACGGTTAACTATGAAGAGTATGTGGTAGATAAACTAACAGTCATTATTTACTGTCATTGTGAAGTTCATCATCTTCCTCATATAAGACTGATATTATAGACAATATAATACACTCTTGTTTAGAGGATGGGACAGTAGATTGAACAGGAAGCTGGTAAGAGAGACTGAGGTTGACAAGGGGAACATATCAGATTCAAACGTGGGCCGTCTTCTTCAAAGACTCCACACATGAGGTATGTGCAAATTCACTCTCATAACTTTTCAATGTCTGTCCTCAAAATTTGAAAAAAAAATAACACCTTCAGTTGCTGAGATAAATAAAACTGAGAGTCGGATTATCTATGAATTATTAGATGGTCTATAAGTACCTCTCATGATGTAATAATAAATATATACATTTTTTTTTCTGCAAACACGAGTGTGATTTGGACTCAGTACCCTTTTAACTTTGTTTGTGTCATCTCATCATTTTTTTTAATCAAACACATTAATTGAAGTATGGGAGAGTAAGAAAGTTTTGAAGTACTGAAAAGCATTTAATGAGGCTACTGAGAAATCATTTTATGGATTAAATTACACAGTTTAAAATACTCCAGAATAGTTGTCAAATAATATTTGACAAAAAAAAAAAAAATGTACACCTGTATGATTACCTGTCTATATGTCTGTTGGAATATTGATGCTATTTGACAGTCTAACTGTTTGAAAGCCTGAAACACCTGCATGTTTATCATGATCTTGACCTCCTTTTGACACTTGAAGGCTATTTGGAGACACTTAGTTTGCAGCATATGAAGCATATTCCTAGTTGACCTGTTGAGCCCCGTTTTAAAGTCGTCTTTTTCTGCACGGGGCTCTCCCCTGTCATGCTTTGCAGATCATTTGACTCCAATCTATCGCTGAGTTTCTCTTCTAAGAACTTTTAAATTCACTTAAACTTCTGAGAAGCTGCAAACACTGGTTTCTACTTTATTTCTTCCTCTTCAAGCATTGAAAGGACAGGACTTTGTGGGGCGACTGCCTTTCCCATCGGGGGGCCGATCAGGAACAGATGGACGGGGTGATGACCCTCCCCGGCAGGCGAGAGCAGCGGCTCAAACTGCCACTCAAAATCCCAGCGTGTGGATGTGTGCGAGTGTGGATTTGTGTGTCGGAGGACGGCGGGGGGTTGTTTTATAGCTCTGAGGGTGCTACAGCAAACAGGGTCCCTGTGATACGAGTGACTGACACTTCAGCAACATCTGTTCCACGGAAAACTCTCACTCTGTCTCAGTCTCACTTCTCTGCTAACAATCTCTGTGAGACACACACACACACACACTCACATGGACACACAGAGGAGTCAGATGATCTTTTCATTATACAGTAAAGCCGAGAGGAATGGTGAAATTACATTAGGGCAGAATAAGATACTCCATTTATGATGTGGCTCTTTGCAAGCTTCTCAGCACGGTTGACAGGGGAGGCTGCAGACGGCACTGATGCCTTTACCCTTCTCTTCTCCTTCCTCCCTCCACCTCTGATCAGGTTTCTCTCCCTCCATCAGTGGAAACGGAGGGAGAGAAGAAGAAGAGGAGGAGGAGAAGGGTTGTTCTGATCAATGGCAGGAAACCAGACGATGAGATGGAAGAGAAGACATGAAACAGATAGGTATCATAACCTGCCAGGCTACCTATCTACCAGGATACTGCAATCACTTCTCCCTCTCTTTTCACTCCATCCTTTCCTGTAATTCAAACACACACACACACACACACACACACACACACACACACACACACACACACACACACACACACACACACACACACACACAGCTGGGCTGTTGAACCACAGTCCTGACAACACACACGCAAACACACATCTGACCACAAACATGCTGCAGAGGAAAACACTCGGAAACACCAAGCTTTAGAATAGTCTTCAAACTCACACATACACAAACGGCATCTTGCACAAAGGATGTACGGCTCTGCCTTTGGGCTGTGTGCATACCTATCTACCTGCCTCTTATGAAAGAAGGACTAATAATATACAAAATTTAAATATATTCATCTCCCAGCTCTATGCAAATCATAAAGATATTGCTTTCTGTCTCCAGGGGGACACACACATTCCCACACATGAATATCCTTAGAGCTGTTTTTGAACACACACAGGCTTCATCCTGGAAACGTGTAATTAGGACACACACACAGAGACAATAGCTGTCTCATTTAAGTTTATTAATTTCTGGTATTTCTATTACGGTTTATCAGCAGCATTTTATGCTGGACAACAGCGCTGCTTGATCCTCAAGGCACTTATTAGCAGAATGAGCGCTCGCCGGTTATTTAGCTCCATTCCTCTGGAGCGAATTACACAGAATGAGACGATGGCAGAGTTATGAAATACAAGGGATGAAATATAGAGCTTTTACTTTATTACAAGATGGTGTAAAATAATTTAAGTGCTTTATGTATCTAAAAGTTTTTGGATTTGTAATTGCAGCAGATCGAAAGAGTACAAGGGGTCGCTGGTTTGACTGTGTTGCATAAATTTCCTCCCTGTATCTGTACGTGTGTGTGTGTGTGTGTGTGTGTGTGTGTGTGTGTGTGTGTATGTGTCTGGGTGGGTGGGTGCATGTATATATACGGGTGTGTGTGTTTCTGATCTATACGGTGCAGACCACTGAGCCTTCTTGCCACCCCGGCTAACTCTAAACTCCTGTCAAAACATAGAGCTTTAAATTGAATTAAGACTCCATGCTGCAGTCCCTGCTGAGCCCCCCAACCAACGCCTTTAACACCCTATACTGCTAAGGAACACACACACACACTGTGCATTCCCACACCTTTTATCTGCAAAAAAGTATACTGTAGAAAGACTAGCAAGAGTGCTCAATCCACACTAATGCAAGTCTTGATAGTCACAACGGATTAGAGTAAGCAGGTTATTAAGCATCTACTCCGACACACTGAACACACACACGTATGCAGGGAACTGCAGAAGAAGGATGAGACCGACCCCGTCTTGAAACCCTGTTGCTACAGATGAGAAACAGACAGACACATTTCCAGAGCTGAATGATTTTTTTTGGTCCTATTAGAGTTTTGGCCTGGATATATTTGGGTGGTGAGTCGATCTTTTTATGTCCAGCAGGCTTCAAGGTAAGGGAGGGCAACTTTCCTATTTTTCCATCCATCAACCCACATCTATACTGCTTATCCCATTCAGGGTTGTGAAGGGGAAGTGTAGCTGGAGCTAGTTCAAACTGTCACTGGGCTAGGGACAGGGTACACCTTGGTCTATCATAGGGCGAGCATACAGACACACAGTTACACCTGTGGGCAATTCAGTTAGCCAAATAAGCATTTCCTAGGACTGTGGAAGGAAACTAGAGTAACCAGGGGGAACCCACACAACCCCCACACAGAGTGGTCTCAGCTGGGATTCAAACCAAGAACCTTCTAGCTGTGGGGAAATGGCATTGACCACTGCACCACAGGAACTCTCTTTACTTTCATCATAACTTTAAAAAAAATATTTTATATATTTTCAGTGTTTACAATTTCAGCTGTCATAATTTTGATAACTGAGCATTTATATTTGTCATTCATTTTACATCTAACACCCATAATTTTGAATACAAAAGCAAAACTCTTAGTGATGAACTAAAGCCAAGATGGATTAATTTAGTACATAATCTCCGTATTCAAAAGCCAAAGCAAAATACCACAGCTAATATTCTATTCCCCGTAGTCAATGAAAAACAGCAGAAATGTGAGTCACATGGTGTTTCAAACCACAGATATTAGTCAATAATTGGGCCCACACTGAGCTGGTTAGTCTGCGTCTGTGTTTTGTCCACTGCAGTTTGGTCTCGGTTGCATAAGTGTCAGCGTTCTGTGTTTTATCCAAAGTTTTCACTCGGTTTGGTCTGTGTTGTTGGCAGATCAAGTTGCTCTATTAGAAATCATGTTAAAACAATATTGTGGAAGTGAGAGGCTCATTAATCATCAGGCTGACAAGAGTTCTGGACATTGTTGACGAGTAATGAGTGTGTTGCTAACCTTTAATACATTTGGGCTGCTGGTAGTCAGGTGGATAATTATAAGTGTGGTGATGGTACAGAAGTATTCTGGATGGCATCAATTCTTGTCCTTATTAGTGTGCTGAGAAAGCCCAGAAAAAGGTTTTAGATTGGCCATAAGTTGTTCGAGTCTTAATGTTTCCATATCTGTTTTGAGAAAATAGAATATAACACACACAAAACAATAATTGTATTGAATTGTGTGTTGTCATTTTTTTTGTTTGAGTTATTAATTATGCATTAACATTTGTATGAAGGTGCAAAGTTTAAATTGGAGTAAATTTACACTACAAGGAAAATTTGCTAAGTATTGAAGGTTTTGTGATCCAACTGAAAAAAAACAAAAACAAACAAACACCAAAGGAAAGATGAAAACTATGTCTTGAACGTATAAACTTTTCTACCACTCTTGAAACGTTACAAATATTTCTTTAATTTTTACGGAACAATGTTGGTTATCTTTACGCCTGACTCAGCACGTTATTTATAAAGCTTTGCATCAGCT